AACCGGGTAGCCTGATAATGTAATAATATAATGATCTAAATAGGATTAAGGGCAACCAAAGGTAATATAAGAATAGTAATAGTAGAGATAGAAGTAAGGCCTATTAAGTATATATACTTAATAGTAAGAGAGTAACTAATAAATCAGACTAGTAAACTTATACTTAAGTAAATAACTTATATTAAATATAAGGAACTAAACTAAGAGTACTAGATATAGTAGTAATAAATATCCTTATATACCCATAGTTCCTCCAGGTGATAGTGGTGATATGTGGTATGGTGATAGAATGGTAGATGATTATAATACCCTTCTATTATTAATTCTATATACCCATCTACCATGTCATGTGATAATGGTTTATTAGGAAATATGTTCAGTCATGCCCTACTAAACTGTTTTTCTATGGAAACCTATCTAGATTAAGCATTTCTCTGGATTATGTCCTGATCACTCCAGGATTGACTAGTGATCATTGATTCTCAGGTTTCTGCCTGTCACATCTGCCCTGTACTAGTGCGGCTGTGTCAGTGCCGTAACAAGAATAAAGAATAATTTAGTTAGTTCTATAGATATTTAATAAAGAAATAATACTATCTAAATACTAAATCTAGTAATTAATATATCTTAGTAATAGTTAAAACTATTTAGCTATAATAATAGGTGCTAACTAACCTTCTACTTACTAACTAAGAACTCTATAGATAGAGTTCAATCTAAGCAGGGGAGGATGTGATATTAATTAATATATATAATTTTAATTAAGTCTATGAGAGTATGTAGAGGATATTAGTAGATATCACTAGTATATATATAACTATATAGACCCATATGTTCCTTCATAGCTTAGGTAGAATTATAAAGGGGGCTAGAATCCCTCAATATTAGCAGGATATGTATGGGGCAGCCTTCAGCCTACCCCCTACCCTTGCATGATTCAAAGGCTCTACGCCCCCTGTGATGAACGAAAATCCCATACCTATTAAAATAATTTTAATAATATAAATTTATACTATCCTTTATAATTATTTATTAATTATATTATTAGTTACTTTTAGAAAACTTAGGATAGTCTATGATATCTATAACTATAATATTATATTAGAGAAGAGTTAAGAGATATTTTATAATAAAGTAATTATTACCTAAGGTATCTAGATAGCCTAAGAAGTCAAAATAGTTAATTTATAGTAACTCTATTAGTTTAAAATAATTAATATAGGCACTTATTATACCCTATTTTTAATAATATTATTAGTAATAGGGGATTATATCTTCTAGGGTTACTATAATTAAGTTCTTAATAAAATATTTAACCCTTTCTAGAAGTTAAGTATTATATATTACTTAATCTGGATATCTACTAGATGGAATATTTATTTATTATAGGGGATATATAATCTTTAAATTATATAAAAGTAGGAGGTAGGCTAGTAGCTACTCTATATATATCCTACTAATATTAAGGGATTCTAGCCCCTTCTATAATTCTACCTAAGCTATAAAGGAATGTAAGGGTCTATATAGTTATATATATATTATAACATCTACTAAATATCCTCTACACACTCTCATAGGCTCAATCAGAATCATACATACCAATCAATATCACAATATATAATTCAGTTACTTACTAGTTAAGGCTTTTAGATGACTACTTTAGGATAAGGATTGCTGATCATTACATTAATTCTGTTTTTTAATAGTATATTAGATGGTAGATAGAGGTATCTGGGGATATTATGTATAAATATGCTTGTATCCCCATCTAATATCATATAGCTCACAGATTCAAGCATAAATAGTAGGTGTAAGCTCCTTAGATCACGCCATCTGGATGTGTATTAGAATAGAATTAAATAGTGTACACGCAGGCGTTAAGGTGGCAGAATAGTTAGAAATGGAAAGCCAGCGAAAGATCTTAGTGGCAAAAGGGTGGTCTAAATACTTTTGAACCCCCACTGTAGGCACAGAAAGGTAATGGAGGCTATCGGCTATCTTTCTGAATCCGGAAGGGAATGCCGGGCTGGCGTCCTACCACTACGCCAGCCTGCCGGCCAGACCACTCTTGTAAAAAGGCCCCGAGTTTTGCTAGAGAACTTTGGCATGATCAATTGATCATACAGTCAATTAGGTGTGGAGCATGGGTTGAGTTACCCACAAGCATGACAGCAGGAATGTATGGCAAAATATGTGGAACATAAGAGTTGCCAGATTTGGTCTAGCGTCCAATAGAATCCCATTCAAAATCCCCTCATCTAACTGCTCGCCATACTCATAATTACCATACAGATTCAGCAAAGGCGGCTGCAGTACCAATGGCATCGATGTTACAAGCAATCAGGTATAGCCGTGGCAAGTTAGCCATCATTGACCAGCTACAGCTCCCATACGTGGAAAAGTTCATTACAATCCAAACATCCGAAGACGCCTGGCATGCAATCAAGGAAATGAGAGTCAGGGGTGCACCGGCCATTGCAATAGTTGCAGCCCTCGCACTCGCGTCAGAGTTGAATACACTCATGGTCCACGATAAACTATCAGCAGGAGCAGAAGAGGTGAAACTTTTTATCAGGGAAAAGTTGGATTACCTAGTGAGCAGCAGACCGACTGCTGTCAACCTCAGTGATGCTGCTCGCAAACTCGAATCAACCATTTCAGATCATGCGGATACCCCTGGTGCAACTGGGCATACTGTCGCGGAGGCTTTCATCCGCGCCGCAGAGGATATGATGACCAAGGACCTGGACGATAATATGAAGATTGGTAAAAATGGTGCTGAGTGGATTATCAAGCATGCACTTGCAGCGCGCAAGTCAACAGCTACAGTTCTGACGCATTGTAACACTGGGTAAGCATTTACCTTGATGATCGTGTTATCTGAGTACTGAATGGATTTTATTAGCTCGCTTGCAACTTCGGGCTATGGAACAGCCCTGGGCGTGATACGAGCGTTGGCTTCAAAAAAGGCCCTGGGACATGCATATTGCACCGAGACTAGGCCTTACAACCAAGGCAGCCGCCTGACAGCTTTCGAACTCGTCCATGATAAACTTCCTGCTACATTGATAACCGACTCAATGGTAGCTGCACTGCTTGCTAATACGAAAGCTGAAGTGGACGCAATCGTGGTTGGGGCAGACAGAGTGGCAGCCAATGGAGATACAGCCAACAAAATAGGTACATATGGTTTAGCAGTACTAGCCAAATACCACGGCGTGAAATTCCTTGTTGCCGCGCCACTCACGACAATTGATCTCGGCACCAAATCGGGTGAAGATATCGTCATCGAGGAACGACCAGCAGCTGAAGTCACCAAAATCAAAGGGCCTGTCGATGGAGATCATTCAGCTGATATCGTGAAGTTGGAAACTGTGCACATTGCTGCAAAGGGTATCAACGTCTGGAATCCAGCATTCGATGTTACTCCCTCGACACTCATCGACGGCATCATCACTGAAGTCGGCGTCATCGAAAAGGAAACAGATGGTCAATTTCATCTGGAGCGGCTATTCATAGATAATTCGGCTTCGTGAAGATTTCCCGTTGTATGATGATTGCTGTTGCCATCATAATCCTGGGATTCTTTATTGTCTTCAACTGCAGCAAGGAGCCTGTCCAGTTGGGATTCCAGGTTTGTCAAATGGTCTTCCAGTGCTTCAGCTGCTTTTTCACCCCTTACAGAGGTCAGAAAACTCTGTCGGACTCGAGTCTCAGGTAGAACCACGTACGAAGAGATATCCTTCAGGACCTGGATACTGTTAGCATTCCGGTTGGGTCTATTTGATGACTCTTCCAGGTTCATGTGCCATGGTTTTGCAGTAACATTGTTCAAGGCTTCATTTACTGAATACGATAGTGCGGATGATATTATAGAACTTACTTGCATATAATTCGGGGATAATCCATCTTTGTTTGCTTGGGACATTGTGACAAGTATTGGCTGGTTGTATCACGGGTGTGTTTATGAAGACTAGTCTACAGAAGCAGGTGCTGGGCTTTACTAGGAAGTTGATGAATCATTAGTAATGTGTTAGCTAACATGGCCATAAATAAGTTTTGCTACTGGCGCAATTTCCCATGGTGGAGCCCCGATGATCTACTATAGATGCTAAGCTGCCATAGCTGTAAAAAGAGCCATAATATTATGTAGCATTAAGCATGCCCAGCATCGCTACACCAAGTGGTGCCAACTTGCGAGCTAGTCAGCTAGAACTACTGGACTGTGAAAATCCGATAGGGTGCAGGTCCTTGCATACCTTAGAAACAGTGGGAAACAGAATAGGAGGCGCAAGGCCTCCAAAGAGCGGAAGCAGAGTGAAAGGGAAGTATAATACTATATTACCGCAATATGCGGAGCTAACAACAAGAGGAGATGAAAATTATCCTAGCGTGTGGGTTAATCTAGCTATTCAAATTGTTGTCAGCTCTTGGCGCGTTTTCAAATCAAATTTCGCGCAACTCTACTTTATAGATTGATCTGGCACAGGGGGTTACTTCATTACCCAATCTCTCCACCGTCTAGCATGTTCTCTTGTCCTTGGGCTATCATTGGATGGTTGCTATCTTTCTGGACTGCCTTTCTATGGCTAAGTGGATATAGACTACCACTTTAGGATGTCCTTACCCCGCGTTTTACTATCATGCATGAGGTCATGGGGTGTTCTAGCTAAAGCTAGATGCTATAAATTAAACAACAAATCCGAGCTCCAACCCTCCAACTGGATTGAGCATCATTGTTCTTGTATTGAATTGGTTCAATGAGATTCTAACTATACGTGACACTGTCGCCTAAGTTCGGATTTGCTCTTTTATTCGTCCAGAGTTAGACTCCATATACTAATCTGTCCATAATAACCATTCCGTTCCTCTGGAATTATCTGTGTTCGTTCTTAACAGAAAGCTTATAAGGGACTTCAAGGTATGCCCATGTTACGGTCAACAAATGCAGGCGGTCCGAATACCTGACTCTCTTGTTTTCTGCATTCAAACACAACCATAGCCCACACCGTCCATTGGTTCGGTATCTCTGTTCACTGATGATATATCCCTACCTCCTAGTGTACTGCCCAATCCGTTTCCAGCCCGATCAAGAGCCCGCTCAAATAGCTTATCTATAATAGTAAGCAAACCTCAACACACAGATCCCCTGATGAAAGAGGAGATCTGTTGGAAGGGTTACCCATTGGTCAATGTGATGAGCTATGCTAATGCAAGTCTCAGTGACGCGTTCACACAAGCTCAACGGCCGGGATCACTCAGGACTTAGTGACGGAATGGCAGCCTCACTTGAGCATATCCCTCGGTATTTTGCGAAATCTGGACCCATTGATGCTGATCCTAAAAAGACGAAAAAAGATGGAGGAGGAAAGGGAAACTGGTTGGTGTCCCTGTCATATAGCTTCAACTGTCCTTTTACATCATGAGGTTGTGTACAAGAACACCGCCTAACAGTGCGCAAGGGGCCGCTCTGGCGAGGAAGTCCAAGACTATGATTATACCTTCACGAACGCTCGTCGCCATTCAAACAGCAGCAGCCAAGGCATGGCGGATTTTAGAACGAAGTTCGAGACCATTGAACCAGATCCAGTCTTTGAGCATCGCCTCCACGGTCCACGGAATGACTCTGTCGAGCATGGTGACTCAATGATCCACGACCAAAATGAAAGTGGTCAAACTAACAGCAATGACATCTAAGACCAGACAGAGGGGGCGGAATCTGTGATAACCTGTTATTAGTGCCGATACGCTGTTGTCAAGGCACCATAGTGGGATTAACCGAGGCGGATGGACCGGCACTGGAGTGAGTAGTGAAATGAACGGCTATAATACCAAATCAACACGTCTTCCTTCAAGTTCTTTATACCGTTGCTAGATGAACATTACCCATCAAGAATATTTGCAAAAACTGACATCTGTAATCTGAGAGCCTCGGTAATTCACAAATCTGAACAGACGAACGGAGCATCAGTGTAAACAGAATACTTACAATTCGGAGCAGACTCCAGCCCGCGTGTGGATACAGCCCCAAGGATCCCTACAAAAGAGTGTTCTCTTACAGGAGCGAGTGAGCCAGAAAATAGCAGACTTATATCATTTGTACAGCCCAACCATTGAACATTAGTATCATGCCGCTGTGTTTATCCTAAGTATTGCATGCAGAGACAGAGAAACATGATTAAAGCCACGACAACTGTGCTCTTGTGGACGGAGTTCCTGTTTCCGAATGGTGGGCCTGTAGACCATCGCTGAACTGCACCATAGCGCCAGTTGAATGAGTAGCTGAAGATGCAACCGCCTCCTCCGCAGAGATAAGGAGTTTCCTGTACCAGAATTCGAGTTTTCCCTCTTCAATCCGTTGGCGGAGTATATCATTTTCCCTGCTCAGATCACGGCAGATCCTGCTGCGCTGCTCTTGAGGGTATGACGACAAAATAAAATCGAGATCTGACTCGTTAAGCACTACATCCAGTGGCGAGGATGGTACATAGAGTGAACGAGGATCTGCATCCGCGCAGTGTTCTGCCAGTTGAGTTAACCAGTATTCAGATAGTCCAATCTGTGAGATATGCTTACTATCTCTTAAACAAAGAGTGAGTGTGCGAAGAAGAGAGACACAGTGTATGTGATCTTCAGATTGATGATCTGTGTTGTCCGCATTTCTCTCCAATTGCCAATCGTCTCTGATCATGCATCTGCGCCACACAAGCTTCTGCAGAGGGACATGGTAGGGCGGACCCTCCTGGGTGGAAGAGTTCAATCGAATGACCCGCAAAGCCAGGTAGAATTCCTTGCCAATGAATTCATTTTGGGTTTCCTCCGAAACCTGGCCACCATCGATCAGTGTCAACAGATCGACCAGCTGGTCAACCCTGAGGATTTGCCGGCTGATCACTTTAGTGAGCAAGACAGATAGTACTTCGTGGAGCGATGGGGTGTCATTCACAAATTTTCCGAACTGGTCAATTGCTAGCTCAGTTTCAGCCTTTTGATCAATCGCGCCCTGCAAAGCTGGCATGATATAAGCATAGACAACTTCTTGGACAGCGTCTAATTCAGCCAAGTCCTCTAGGCGTTTTATCTCATTACCAAGGATGGGCTTGCCAGTTGTACTGCTTTCTTCCCAGGCTGCTAGCGTAGCAAGTTTTGACAAGGACAACTCAACGCGATGACACCACAGATCTGATTCACGCTCAAGAGCCAAGGTCTCCAACGATCGAGCAGCCGCTTCATAGTCGTCCTCACCGATCGCATCGTTAATCCAGCAGAGTCGAGCGTAGGTCGGATTTTTATGCAAAAAGCGGTTGATGAAAGGTTGAAACCTTCTCATCGTGAACAGAATCTCTGATTGACCCATCGATATTTGGCGAGTGAAGAAGGCATCAGCCCAGGGTTCGCCGAACTTTTCGAAGTACGTTGATATTCTCCTACCGAGCTGTTCTGATTCATAGTTGGTGACATTTCCGGCACCTTCCGAGTCCGCCAATGTCTGATCCTGAAGCTCAATAATGAGTTCTACCAAAGCACTCATGTCCCGGAATTTCTCCGCCAGAGAAATTGCGTCTTCTAGCTGACCAATGCCAGCCAACTTGAATAGCTGCCACCTGCGCTGCTTGGTATGTGTTTGCTCGAGTTCAATGCCCTCATCGACTGATTTGGGATCATCCTGTGAGGAAAGCCACCTGACTCTTTCGTAGTGCATTAAACTGAGCACACGAAGTTGGCGGGCGCTGTTTTCCGCAATTTGCCGGATGAACTGCTGCTCCCGTAGATCCAAAGAAGCCGTTGTTTGTTGGGTCCATGCCCTACACGTATCGAGTTCTAGATCCAAAAGATGTCCCGTTTCAAGATAAACGATAGCCTGAGACGTCCAGAATTCAGAGAGACCATCGTAGCCAGACGTCAACACGCCGTCCTCTATGTGCTCGTCTTCAAGCCCGTACTGACGGGCGTGCTCATCACGAAACCGAAAAGCTGTCTCCAAAACGGCCAAGGAAAGCTCACTGGCTTGCACGATTTCTTCTAATACCCTCCGCCCCTGCTTCGTAGAAATCCCCTTCTGAAGTTTGAGCCCCTTGAAGATCCAGGGAATAATATGTTCCATTCGAAACGTGTCAAAAAGAAACCAGTCGCGCACATTATCTTTGTCCTCTTGATACTCAGATTTTGTTTTGAATTTTTCATTCATCGACCCAATCACATGAGCCAAAAACGTATTTCCTTGGCCCATTGCCCGCCTCGCCTTATCCTCAAGCTTCCACAGGGCCCTTTGTGCAGCAAGCTTCTCTGCACCCCACAGTAGCTCGTACCAGGTTTGACGACGCAAAGGTTTCTTATGCTGCAGTAACAGACTTGCAAGATCATCTAGAGCTTTTGCTCGTAATCTCAAGTTCTGATCTAGAGTGACCGACGTGGCGGGAATATAATGAGAGGTAGACCGCAGCAATTCTCCGCAAATTTCAAGTGCAGCTTCCTCGATCTCTTGCGAGCTGAAGTCGAAGCCGCCTTTGTCAGTTAGATCGAGTGGGTTGCCTGCCCCCGAGCCGTAGAATACGGCTTGTTCGATTTTGGTTTTAGCTGTAATTTGAGCATCTTCAATCTCATTGCCTGCGCTTTGTCGAAGCCTCACTGCGATTCGAATGACGCCAAAGTTTCGAACCATGACCAAGCATGCGGAGAAAGATCCTTCACCCAGTTCATCCTCACAGCCGCTGCCCAGTAGCTCGTAGTCAGCTCCGGACCGAAAGGTGATATGGTCATTGAAAGCCGAGGGAAGTCGATCGGAGTCTAGTAAGAGTTGTGAGGTGGGCGAGTCACCATATGAAACCAACGAGAGCAGTAACACCGACTGGCCAATCACAATAAAGGCTGTCTGGCTCACTGTGCCTACATGTAGCTTGATCTTGGGCTGCGGGGCGTTAGACAATGTCGGAGAATAGTTCAGGTCTATGGAACTGGCAGCCAAGACATGAACTTCTTCTGAAAGCAAGAGCTGCACCACAGATATGCATCGATGACCTGTCTCCCGGGAAGGCGCCACAACCAGACAAAGCCGCCACGACTCTGCTCCACTATGCTGTAAACCTTGCGCATTATCGCCAGAGGACATAAGGGCAAAATCTATGATCTTTAGATCAGTATCACCGGCTGCTTCTGTGTGCTTTCGACCCAAAGAGTGGCACAGATCCTGTCTGATATCAAACTGTTTCTTCATTATGCTCCCGTTACTCCAATGAGTGTCCCAGATCTCAAACACTCCCGTCGTCGTGCCAACAATGATGTCCCGCTGCCCTCGTTGATGCGAACGGGCAGCCCTTACTGCAGCGACATCCTTCCTCCAGCAACCACCACTGAAGACGCTTTTTATGCCATTCAGTAGCCCAATACTGCTGCTTGAATTCCGAAGAAGATTGGCCGTCACGGTTGGCCTTCCTTGAGAATCCCTGAAGGTAATGTGAGCGACCCTCCCCGATGAAAACGTGACAATTACACCGGAGGGCTCGCAGTTTATCACATCAGTAACATATTCACCTGGGAGCAAGCCAGGTACGTGACCTTGAAGCCCACTTTGTCTTTGTCTTGGTAGCCCAAGGGATCCAGCATGCGATATGGTCTCCCAGTAGATAATTCTTCCTGTATATGGCATGACTACCATTAAGCCTGGTATTTCGCCATTTGCGGACGATAGGAAAACCCCAAGGGGGGCTGCACCATGAGATTCTCGGCAAGATTCAGGAATTGTAAGTGTAAAGACATTCACGGGGGACGATGCTGATGCAGAGGGGGAATATGGCCAAATAATAGCATGCGATGCCGTCAAGGCCAATGCATAGCCATTCGCTGTCCCGAAAATACCTCGAAAATCTATAAGAACAAATTAATACACTGGCTTAGACGGGCATGTCCATAACTTGCCTGCCGGTAGGCCACGAATCTGGTCCGGAAAAGCAGGAAGTTGAGAGACCGTGTAGAAATCAGTCTTGGACTTTAAGAACCTTTAGCGTTAATGAAGAACTAGACAACACCCGGCGAGGACAACAAGGGAAGGCCAGAATCTTGTTGCGTTAAGACACATGCCAGACTTACAAGCACAACAGCTGCGTTGACCTCGTTTGCTGGTCGCTTCAGTTCGTTTAATGATCTCACTGGTAAAGATCTTTGCACGCCAGGTTTCTTCGCAATCGTTGGGTCGGACGCATCTCCGGTGTCGAGACCTGGATCTTTCGGTAATCCTTTCTTAAAGTCTGACTGAGCCTCCGAGGAACGCCCAGGACTCTCAGTCCGCAGCGCAGAACGTTGTCTTTTAGCATCCGGTTGCCTCACAGACTCATCAGAGCTAGTGCGCTGACGTCTTCGTGGGTTGCGCAACGAGGCCAGGGAGGAGAGTCCTGCTTTTGGTACGAACATAGTTGCAAGGACGTTGTCGATGTATCACGACAGAATGATAATTTCTGCTGCTGAATCCGGTACAAGCATCTAGCTGACAATCATGAAGCAGTAAAGTCGATCACGAGGAGTAGAACTGAGAGACAGTAGAGCTGGTGCAACAAGGCCTACCGCTCCTCATATCATATCAGACATAAGCAAAAACAAACTATATGTACTGAGTTTTGGTGTACCATGCCCAGGGAGATATGAGAAGGCGGTCAGGTGCCCTGTGACCTCCACATTGGATGTCAAACATATCAAACACGGATACACATTGAGAAGCAACTCAGTACTCCGAATACTCGGTAGGAAGGACGGAACATAGAAGACATGGATATGCTTCTATGGAACAGTTCCTGTGTGGCATGGTGTGGACATAATAGACGTCTTAAATAATAACCTTGCAAAGTCTATAGAGGTATTAGTCAACTCATGGTTCTACAAGGGGTACATTACGAGTTCAGTGTCACAATGAGGCAAGAAGCATTTTAATAATATGCAATGATAGTAGTCAAGGCTTCGCAGTTTGCTGCATCTGTTCCTTTTGAATAAATCAGTATTATGGCGTACTAGGTACCTTACTGTCATGATGGATACCTTAGATAATAATCAGTGGATGTTAATCGACATCAGTAATACATTTACAAGCCTATAGCGGACAAAACTATTTATTGCTAGTACGGTGTACAAACAGAGGTACCATATTGTTGTGATGTTTTTGCTTGTAATCACATGATTTTAACTTGACTGAAGCCTTAGATAGAGTCTACTGGGTCTTTATCAACAGTATCTCACCCATCGGACGCTCCTGTGTCATAATACATCTCTAATAGACACCGTTCATAATGCCCATATATTATACCCAATATGTTTGTTCCGAGCCTGAATGATTATTATGCTTTTATAATCACTAAATCATGTTGCTATTCCTCAGTCTGAGATACACCAATGCCATCCGCTATGTCTGTTGTCGCTCAATCTCGAGGCTGAGCCCCATCGCCAAACTATCGCTCCGCACTCTACCACAACAAGATTGCACACAGCTCTATTCTTTCCCGGTTTGTCATACCATCTAATCCCAAACATCCCTATTCCTGATGCTGATATAGGTCCAGGTCATGGCGTACAGCGTGTGGGAATGGCTAACTCCTGGGTTGACAATTTTCCTAACACGGCCAGACCATTCTTAGAAGAGATGGACGATACTTTAGGATTCAACCTGTCTCGAACCATAGCAAATGGCCCAAATTGCGAGTTAAACAAGACTGAGAATTCCCAACCTGCTATCATGGCGACGTCCATATTGATCCTTCGCATATTGGAAAAGGAATTCGGTTTCGACACGAGATCTCGTGTGAATGTAACACTTGGACATAGCTTGGGCGAGTTCTCTGCTCTGGTCGCTGGTGGCTATCTTAAGTTCAGAGACGCGCTAAGATTGGTTCGCCGTCGGGCGGAGATTATGGCTGAATGCACCCGTCAAGCCTCTAAACAATCCGGAGAAGACTATGGCATGGTAGCTCTGATTTGTGAGCCGGATCATCTCGAATCTTTACTTTCGGCCATACATGAGTTCACAGGTCATCCTTCCCCCGACTTAAAGGACGATTCGAGCCACGGATTACCCACAATTCAACAAGTTATGATTGCCAACATCAACTCCAGAAACCAAATAGTACTAAGTGGGAGCATACCAAGGATCACGACTCTTCTCATCCAGCTTCGCCAATTTGGTGGCCACGATCCACGTGCTGTGAGGTTGAAGAGCGAAAGCCCGTTCCACAGTCCCATCATGGCGCCAGCTGCAGGGTATATGAGACATGAACTAGAATACGTCGACATTGAATTTCCCTCACAGCTGCCGTGTATATCAAACGTCTCTGGTCTACCCTTCGAATCAAGGGACGATTTGAAAAGCCTTTTGTCTAGACAATGCGTTGAAACCGTTAAATGGTGGGACAGTATTCGTTATCTTGACCAAGATCGAGGAGTCAAAAGATGGATTGGCATTGGGCCAGGCAAGGTCGGCAGAAATCTGGTCGGCAAGGAAGTTGGTAAAATTAACACCAAAGGAGGTGGCGTTTGGGCTCTTAGTGATCCCCGAGAGCTGGAGAATGTTTTGATGGCGCTGCAAAACACTGAAATCGACGTCTTAACTCAATGAATCTGCGATCCACCCATTATATACGTACTTCTCATTTGTATCGACACAATCAAGCCCTGCCCGTTACGTGCGAAATTTACTGATAAGTCGCCGGACTTGATACGCAAAATTTTCATCCAAAATGTGGCCCGGTCTTTGATGGCCTTAATTCCACACTTTCCCCGGGCAGTCACAGCGCCATATTCTTTCGAGTAGGTTCTAATCTGAAACAAATAATCTGCAGCATGAGAGACAAATAACCTGCCCAAGCCACTCTAACGTCTAGGAAGCATCAAGTGCAAGTCTTTGTGGCAATTTTCTTGGCTGGTCTGGATCACTCTGAAGGTGTTCCTTGCTAGAACAACCAGACTACCTCCTGTAGGGTTGTCTTGCAATTCCGACTGCATTTCTCATTGTGCTGTCAAAACGAGATTCACTTCCGTGCTCAGTACAATCATGAGGTACGCTCAGCGAGGGTAGCTTGAGTAACCATGGATGATCGGCATGGGCTTCCTGACCCCTGCAAGCAATTGGTGAAGCGCTAGCTCGCATTTCTTATGCTGCTCATTCTTCAACGTATCTTGCATGAAGACAGGTATGAGCTTCACTTCCGCAATCCTTCAGAAAAGTTGACAAGGTCCAAAAGTTGCCTCAGGGTGAAGTTCGCTCACAATTTCGTCCATGGTTGTGTAAGTTCTAGCCGATCAGGCAGAGCAATGCGAATCATTCTCACAATCCACGCCTATCCGCTATGTTTCATACAGAAACGTCTCCAGAAACATCCGTATATTTGTCGCGGGTTTTTGGCCATTTCAGAGCATTAGTATGTTTGACTTGTCCCTCCAAAAGATTTAGGGGCTGAGAAAGCTCAGAGCCCAGTCATTCCCGGAGCCCAGGTATCGCCGATACGCTTGACTGCCGCAATGAACCTTCGGTCGACGATTTGCGATGCATTCGAACTCGATGTTGTGGTCTTCGCAGTAGGCGTATAATCGTCCGGAAAGTAAAACGGGTTTTGTAACAGTTGAACGTATGCAGTTTGCAGCGCTCGGAAAGCCTATCATTCGACATTAGCGCTTCCATGGAACTTGCAGGCCCTCTCGAGTGTGTTGCAAAGTAAGATGGTAGAAACTTGCCGGCTTCAAGTCCGATTCCCTCAATGTCGCCATCGCACCGATGCCCAAACTTTCGGCCCCAACACGTGTTGGTTGCCCTATTGTATCCACCACGATCAAGAACTTCACCCCAGTGGTTGTTAACCAGCCATACGCGGCTAATCGCTCGTCGATCGCATGCAAGAGGCCCAGATCCTGGCCGACTGAAGTCTTTTTCTGCCGTATCTCAAAGATATCAAGGCATGCGTTCAAGGAGAAAGAGAAATTTACAATGGAGTCTTGGTACGGTGGGAACATTGAGATATGGAGAGGATTGTCCTTTGAGAGAATTAGTAGAGGCATCAAATTGCAACGGATCGTCTCACAGCCTTTCCAATCACGCATATGCAGGCAATCCTGGGGCCTGACATCGTTTTGCGTGTGTGCGGCTCTTTTAGCTCCCTGGGTCAAAGATCACTGGAAGTAATACAAGGGAAATGATTAGGCAAGAGAGTAGACTGACGGAGTAGGAAGGGAATTGCAGAGCACTGTTTTCCATCAGTGCAGGAGGACCCGCTTGATCTTTGCTCCTAGCTCCTCATTCTGATGATTGCATCACGGCGCTGATAAGCCCGGGTAACAGCCACCCAACCACTTCCACTTTCATTGAAACACAGCATCTACAACAGAGTCTTTTCTCACATTCGTGAACGACATCTCTGGATTACTGATCCAGTAGATTGTATGCAGAAATAATGCAGTCTAGATGCACTTAAGTAATAGTCAAATTGAGTGACCTTTCTACAGTAAAAATTAACTCCCTTTATAACAAGCCCCACCAGGATAGATCAAGTATTAATGAACCAAATGTGATGAATCGAAACAAATGTCATCATCGTAGGGTTCTCTGCGACTAGACATATGATCTGACGGGCGATATTATTACCATCTGGGGTTCGAACTTCGAAGACATGGAGTAAGCTGAATTCAGAACCATATTATCTTCCAGTTACTAAGCTAGTGCGGCCATAGGCTCGGTCATCTTCGGCCGCAACGGCGTTACCTTCCTAGTTTGGAGCCGGAACGGAACACTCGCAACTCGTACCTCAACCATTTCATTGCCACTGGGCTTGCAGGGCTTTGAGCAACAGAGGTTCTGTTCCCCTCTAGTCACCGACTACTTCTTTATCTGATTAACAGGCGCCTCAGACAAGGCAGAAGTATTATCCCAGTATGCTCTCTACATCTAGCCGCGCCGTTCTGGGCGCTCTCCGCGGTACGTCTATTTTTCTATCTCCTGGCATTCGTCGGCTCATTTGATATAGCGCGATCAATTACAGTTCCATGCCTCTTAAGAGCTCAACAGCTTGCATTGCTGTCCACCTCTCCAGTCAAATCAGCGACGGCACTCGAGCGTCAGGCGCAGTCCGGGCAGCCTTTGACTGCATCTGGGAAGGTGCGAAAGGAGGTGCCCTTGCCGAGTCAGGAAAAGAAAGAGGGTGCAATGCAATATGTCCTGTTCGTGTCCTGCATCATTTACGTACATGCATACTGAACATCCGATCGTACTAACATTGTCGTTTGTAGTACCACACTTGACCAGGTCGCCAATTGGGCCCGCCAAAGCTCCTTGTGGCCGATGACCTTCGGTCTCGCCTGTTGTGCTGTCGAGATGATGCATCTGTCGACACCTAGATACGACCAAGATCGCCTGGGAATTATTTTTAGAGCTTCACCTCGCCAGTCAGATGTGATGATCGTGGCTGGTACATTGACCAACAAAATGGCACCAGCGCTTCGACAAGTTTACGATCAGATGCCTGATCCACGCTGGGTCATCAGCATGGGAAGTTGTGCGAATGGTGGCGGCTACTATCATTACAGCTACTCGGTCGTACGAGGATGTGATAGGATTGTTCCTGTCGATGTTTATGTCCCTGGATGTTCGTTGAACCTCCCTCTTGACTCGTACTTTGAGATTATTCTGGTGTGAGAGCTATGCTGACGGGATATAGGCCCACCCACATCCGAGGCATTGATGTATGGAATATTCCAGCTCCAGAAGAAGATGAGACATACAAGAATCACACGCATGTGGTACCGCCGTTAATATTGTTCTCGAGGAATGGGTGGATATCGTTAAACCTTGGAAAATATTGACTATGGCATTGTATTCTTACGTACTTAGGAGACATACCAGCGCATACAACGAGTCAAGTGACCTTTTGACTGATATGTCTTCGGTGCTCGGATTTCAATTTACCAGATAATACGGGCTTATCATTTGCTATCTCTCTTTCTGACAAAGGTGCCACCAACCATTGAACGTAAATGGTTCAAGCAGTCTGGTGCCCTAGCATTCAAGTACCTGTTCGTCTTTGTTGTGAGTCTGAGATCGCTTGAGGCAACCGCTTAGCCGTTGACCATTACACCGCCATTGGGGTGCAGGCTTTGTCCCGAAATGTAGCTACTGTCATGACTTGCAAGGAAAACAAAGCATGTTGCAACCTCGCTAGGTTGGCCCGGGCGACCCATGGGCACGGAGCTAAATTGTTCCATTGCAGAAGTATCCATGGTGGATGGGATCAAGGGAGTCCAGACTAGAAGCTATGTTAGAGACGACCCTTGCAATTATCCGGCATCGAAACTTACTTGGACCAGGGCACACACAGTTGACTCGAATTCCTTTCCCAATTTGTTGGTTGGACAATCCTCGAGTGAACGCAACGATTGCGCCCTTCGTAGATGTATAGTCAAGGAGGTCACCTCGGCCAATATAATGGTTAACAGATGCACAGTTGATGATCGTCGAGCCAGATCGCATATGTGGTAGACTGTACTTCGACAAGTAATAATAAGGATGGATGTTTGTGTCAAAGGTGCGATGCCATTGGTCCCTAACGAGACGGTCAATTTGATCAGCTCATGCGAGAGCTCTCTCTTCTCGTGTGCTGTGGGGACGCTGCTAGTGAAGAGGGGCTCAAAAGACTATGTTGGGGAATCAGAGCATACTCATCTAGCTCACTGATGTCTTGGACCATGTTCTGGAACGCAGCGTTGTTCACCAGAATGTCAATTCCTCCCAGACACTGAAGGGCGACGTCGACCACTTTCTGGCAGTTCTCCCTTTTCCGGAGATCTACTGCCAAGCAGTGACATTCTTTTCCAGCTTCCTGCACTCTTCTCTTTGTTTCTTGAGCATCTATCTCTTCCTCGGGCAAGTATACGATTAGGCTAGATGCCCCTTCCATTGCAAACAGTATGGCAACAGCGCGACCGATCCCAGAGTCGCCACCCGTAATGATAGCTCGCTTTCCAGCGAGTTTCCCAGCTGCCTTATATGTCTGGTATCCATAGTCGTCGGTCGGTATGCAGGTTGACGCAGGCTTGGGATCCTCCAGTTCCGCCTGTAGCCCAGGCTTTTTCTGATGCTGGATTGGGATCCGGTGACCTGCAGTACTGATGAGCATGGCCAAAGTTGATTCAAAGATGCGGACTTACCAGGCTGAAATTGTGATTCAGCACCGCTTGCTGGCTTTTCCGTGTACTCTTGCATGGCGGTGATCCAGTAGCAATTCGGACGATCTCAACCTGACAACTCACAACTTGCGTATATTAAGTAAAATGCAGCTTTCTGGACAAGTTAATGCGCGAGAAAAGAATTTAGGAAGATAATCAGGTCAAGTTATAGTATTGCAAATCCGGCGCATATGGCTTGTCTGCCGGAAGATCACAGCGTCAGGATGACGTTTTCAAGCAACACAGGAACCTAGGAATTGAGAGCCACGAAACATCTTCGAGATATAGCCACGCACGAACAAAACCCACATCGCAATCATTACTTCGAGCTGGCCTAGGTGGTGATAATAGAAGTTCCTGTGCAGATGAGCCTCGACAGTCTCCTTGACGTGACGTTATCAGGCAACGAAGAACTGGCATGTGATGATTCAGACCGTCATGAGCACCTTATTTGATTTGAGGAGAAATGTAGTTGATAACCCTTCAGAAGTCCTCTCAGAAGTCCTCTGAGAGCCGGACAATCGTCAGCGAGACATCACGTCCATAGAATGTGATACAAGGTATGCTTATCACTTGACTTCATCAGAGGTCGCGATCAGAAATATAGTGCTTGCCTCGGAGAGCAGTTGAACTGGTGGAACTTTGAGGCAACAGGGTATCCGGATTGTGGGAAACACCTCAGTTATCCTGGCGTGCACAAATTCTTGATGGATGGCCATATTTACACATTGAGGCTGCACTGTTTGATCTGCAGTGGTGCTTTACCTTCTATAGGTGGAGAAATGAATAATATTTCGAAATTAGTCTTTTACTTACTTTTACCATTGTCGAATGAAGAATAGACCTCGGATCTGATCTTAATCTGCTTGTCACGCGCCTCGGAAGTTCGTAATTGGGTTAGTACCTTACCCTGCGCCTGAAGACGTTGTGAACTTCTGAGGTTTTTGACAATCTCAATATAGCAGGCTGATAGCAGCAATTTGGTTGAAGTTCAGCATAAGGTATGTCACCGAACCAGCATTCATTAATATTATTAGTGAGGCGCTCCGTAGTACGGAGTACTAAGGTAGTACGGAGTATTATGATTATTATCCGCCATGGGACCGCGCTGGTTAAATACCAGTAACAGTATAACGCAGCCAGGCTTAAGTGGAGCGGGAAGCTTGGCAGAGAGTTTTTCTTCATTTTCATTTTTCATTTTTCCTTCTTTTTTAAAGAAGAAAGCCATAGCCTCATTTTCCGACTATTCTTTTTCCCTTCATACTTTTTTTCTCTTTCTTCTTTGCTCGCTACAACAATTCCCCTTCTCTGTTCAAACAACAGCGCGGGCCGATGCCCTTACAGGCATTTCTGCAATGGACCAAACGGTAATGCAAGACCAGTCTGAGACGATAATCCAATGCCCAGAATCGAGGTCGACTCGCAGCAACGGATATAACATGCCTATCGAATCAGCGTTATCTACACCGTGGCTTTTTCTTAGCCCGACAACCTCGCTGCATGCGAATACAGTTGATTGTGCAAAGTACTTTCTTGATTCTCTTGCCCTGTCCGTCAGCAATGCACAGCTTGCTCGTCAGCGCGTTATGCGGAAGCGCAAGCGATCCGATTATGAGCAAGAGACTCTGCATCATGTATTACAGTTGAAGGAACTATTTGTGCAAGGATTTACTTCCGATCAAATATGGGAACAGGCCACAAGAATACTAGACTCTGCCAAGCAGGAAATTGAGCAAGATTCCGCTCTGATTGCCCAGCATGTCGAACCAGCTTTTCTGGACGCAAGAGCGTCACCCATTCAGTCACAAGAGGCGAATTCTGAAGATATCTCTGATTTTAGTGATATCTCGATTTCTTCAGAATCGGCCGCTGATCGTTCAGACCGCAACTCTGCTTCTGATGATGATATGGAAGATATGGAATCCTTACCAGAATCACCGAGCATGGCTGAGGGCCACTCAGATGAAGATAGTAGGACTGATGTGGAAGAGTCGGAGAATGATAACCACAATAGCCGCGATACCTACGTTCAAGACCCGTTCGGACTGAACGACGGCTTTTTCTCCATTGACGAATTCAACAAGCAGTCTGAGTTTCTCGAGAGGCAAGATGCAAAGGGCGAAATAGATGACGATTTGGAGAGCGATGAAGAGGAGATAGACTGGCACGTCGACCCCTTAGCTGGTGGTGGTTCTGTGCCTTCCCAAGCCACACGGCCAACAGCACAGAGATCGAAGAGTTCTTTCGAGGACGGAAGTGAGAGCAGTAGTGACGAGGAAGGGCCGACTTTCGATAACGTCGCCGTCGAAAATGATATCGATTCAGAGGGTGACGATGCATATGCAATTAGTGCGGATACCACTAATTGGATGAATACCAGTGATATCAAGTACTCGGATTTTTTTGAGCCTCCTCCACGGAAGACGACTTCGACGAAAACGCGCCCTCTTCCGAAAACACAACCTCATGGGGCTCCTGTCGAAACTGACATCGATCGCGCGATTGCTGACGTTAGGCGCGACTTGCTTGAGGACGATGAGTCGCTAGATGGAAACGATTCTTCCGATATTGAGCTAGCGGGTTCTAAACATCAGCATTCGGCTCATGAGAAACAACGTGCGCGGATTGCCGACGAGATCCGTCGCTTAGAGGCCGCTAATGTGGCGAAGAAAGATTGGATGCTTGCTGGTGAAGCTCGAGGCGCTGAAAGACCTATGAATTCCTTGATTGAAGAAGATTTGGATTTCGAGAGGGTTGGAAAGCCGGTACCTGTTGTCACGACGGAACTTTCTGGGGACATTGAGGAGTTGGTTAAGCGTCGAATATTGGCGAAGGAGTTTGATGAAGTAATACGCCGCCGTCCTGGGATTTCGGAAGGGCGGACTGCAAAGAAAGGGAGATTTGAGCTGGAAGACACCAAGCCTCAACAGAGCCTGGCCGAGCTCTTTGAGACTGATCATCTCAGGGCCACTGATCCAAACTATGTCGACCCGAAGAATCATAAACTTCTACGAGAACATACTGAGATTTCAAACCTTTGGAAAGAGATAAGCGACCGCCTGGATACGCTATCGAACTGGCATTACAGACCGAAAGCTCCTCAAGCAAATATCAACGTGATCACGGATGTCGCTACCATTATGATGGAGGATGCGCAGCCTGCAGCTAGCAGCGCTGTTGGCGGGTTAGCAGCCCTTGCTCCTCAGGAAATTTACGCTCCGGGTGATAACGGCAAGGTTGCTGGAGAAGTAACACTCAAGAACGGAGAATCTATTGCCAAGGATGAAATGACGCGCGATGAGAAGTCCAAGCTAAGGAGGAGGCAGAAGAAGCTGAGAAAGTCCGACTCCGACCCTGCGAAACAACAATCAGGGAAAGCCGCTGAAAAACAACAAATCGTCTCAACGTTGGAGAAGAGCGGTGTCAAGGTGATTGGTAGAGAGGGCCACCTCACTGATGTTTATGGTGCCAGAGACCGGGAAGGCACCGCCAAAACTGGTGCCGATATACTCAAGCTGTGAGATTACAATCACCTACCGTCCATATCCGATGACGGAGTATCTGGAATTACATGAATTTCCTTTGGAAAGGCAGAAGCCTGGTAGATTAGCGCATTTCGGTCGTCTTGTAGCTGCATATCAATATATGCTAATCTAGGTTGCCTCTTTGGCGTTTGCTCATTCTTCTATTGCTCTAAGACTACCGTTCTCTGGTCTAGATTTCACCCGGATTGAATAGAGAAAGATATTCTCCCTTCTGTATGTATCCGCTTCAGGGTCGTCACGAACCTCCTTGACATCAAAGACCCTCTTAGCTGCTTTCATGAAACGGAGATCTGCTCGCCTACGCCTCTTGAAACAGAAGTAGCAAACAGATTCGGGCCCCAGCAGATCTTGCAAGGTTGAAATGAGAAGGGGGAATGCCGGCTCGAAATAGACGCAGTCCGCAGCGAGTACGATCGCAGGATGTGTCGGTATACAGTCTGGGAGACGCTCTCCCCAATTTAACACTGTAGCCGCCACTGCAGTTGAGAGATTGTTCAGCTCAATGTTCGTTTTCATCAAGTGTAACATTGGCTCTTGGTCTGTGACGTAGATGGGACAAGGACCAACATTACACCCTCGTGCAACCGCGAGGCCCACAAGGCCCCCGCCAGCTCCTAGTTCAACTCTAGGTAACAACGCATTAGTATATAATCTCAGAAGGAGCGGTTGTTGAGGACTTTCTAATAACAAAAATGGTAGTGTACAGACATCGTCTTGTTGGAGAGATTATTGCGGTGTTGCCGCAGCAAGTACTTGGCCAGGACAATCCCCGCTGGCCATAATTGACCACCGCAACCCTCTTTAAGGTCTTCTTTGAGGATCAGAGGCTCTTCTAGGAGACCATCAAATGAAACCAATGTATCTCCAGCCGATTTTAGCTCCCTGACAGGAACTAGGTGTTCGCTGACATCGAAGGTTGCCACCAGATCGGATGATGAGGGGTTGGCAGAAATAATTGCTTCCATCGGGAGAAATTTTGCACCCACGAAATGATTTCTTCTGAGGTTAACAAAAGTCCGTCGAAAGAATGCTGATCAAAACTAACTGATGTGTAAAAAGCCTCAGTCAGTCACTGACGCCTGACCATAAAAAAATATAATGAACCAATAGGGAAAGGGAATTGAAGAAGATTAAGGTATGTACAAGGAAGTATGCTCAGAAAAGACAGGAGAAAAGGAGCGGGAAAAAAAGTCCATATTCTGACAACTCTGATTGGGCATTTCTCCAAAATGAGGAGAAAATTACGTAGGGACCCAGAAATTAACGATGTAGATCTGCCATTTATCTAGGCTCTAGACTGTGGCCTTCGAAACTTCATAGTTATCTTTTGTCTATCTTTAGATAGATGAGGCTTTGGCCGAGAAGATAAGATAGTGTTTCTCTTGTCCTCAATCTTCTTCGTGCCTTCTCCTTCGTGTCCTCAAATGTGGACCATAGAAAGACCAGAGGACATGTAAATACCTTGCAATTCTATTTTAGGCCTCTAGTCGGAAAGCGGAAATACAGGCCGTAATTCTTGCTAATATCCTACCTGGAATGAAGGAAAATGATTTTTCCTTGCAACTTCATATTGTGGGTGGAAGAATTGGCAGAATGAATCGGCTCAGCGAAATGCAACTCATGACTGTTGAGGATGGATCTGGCCACGCTCTGTAGTGTGAATAGCAAAAGAGATTAGTGTTCGCTTGCTTGGTCGAGGCCTGCCTACTGTTAAGAATCTTTTACTTCACCGCCCAAGCATGGCTAGTATAAAGATACCTATTGAGAGGTATCATGTATAGGTCTATTGCTTGACGTCATGGCCGCTGCTCTTCCCCACACCAAGGGATCTTGCTTCCAGCCTCCTACCTTAACCGTTGGTAAAACCGACTTTATTATTGAGCTGCCTCGATTGATTGGTCCGCAACATGACTCGTTCCCCATGTCGGGATCTTCAACACTGCAGCTCGTCGGCGTGTCCTTGTCTTTAGATCATGACGACGTCACTGCGTAGCCTGCCAAGTACCTACTGTATGATGGCAACCCCATGTGACCTTGGGTCAGCAGTGTTCAAATAACGAATCTCCCCCATTCAACGGACGACAATTTTGTTGAGATCTCACAACCTACAGAATCATTGTTACACGGCGATATTTCCACACTCAAAATGACCACTCTCCACTGTAAGTATGACCCCCGTCTCCGGGCCCTGTGGTCCCACTGATCATTATAATAACTTGTAAACGCCCAGATCTCCCTCCCGTGAAACCCTCGGCGATTGCGATGGGTACTATCTTCACCCATACAGCTTCACTGGGTATTCTCGCACCTGTCTTTGGTGATACTTATCATCGTGCGCAGGCCGCCAATTCCAAGGAGGAATTCATCAAGTCCAAGGAGGCTGCTGGAGCAGCGGCGGCTTGGGGTAGCTCTCTGGTTGGAAGCGCCGTTCAGACTTATGGTGTTGCCGCCCTGATCAATGCTACTGGAACGCTGAGCTATAAGGGAGCTGCTTATTTGGGAAGCTTGATTTTCATGGCCAGTTCCGCGCCAAGTGTGAGTATTCCGATTCTCTTACGCCAACTTTCACATGATACGCTAACCTTGCATTCTGTTTCTAGTTCATCAGCCAAATCTTCACTGAAAAGCGACCCCTCGATACTGTTGCTGTTGGTGCTGTCAGCAGGGTGTTTGAGACAGTTGGGCTTAGTCTGTTCCTTACCTGGTGGGGTACTCGCACAAATCCTTTTGATTAGGAGCGACTCCTGGTTTATGGTCAGGGAAATTATGATTTTGTGAATTAAAACCTAAATTTGAATTAAGCCAGACATAGGATTTTATTGCTTGCTCATGCCAATGTCTACAATTATGTAGGGACCATGTTCAGATCGGGCTCGTTTAGGGAACGCTTAAAGAAGGATAATTTTGACAGTTGATTTCTCTCTTGGAAAAGTCGGATTTAACAGCCCTGTCTTCCTTGCCCATTGCTGTAGGCGATTGTACATGTTTGAATTCGAGGTCATGGCAAGTCTCTTAGGATCATGACGCCGTAACTGCTCTAAATCTACCCTTGGTAAATGATATTCAAATTCTGTTTCCCGTCCTAACTATAAGGCATGGCGACATTGCTTTCCACATGACTGGTTAATATGGACGAATAGAGAGAGCATAAGAGTATTCCCAGGGCATATAAATTCAGTCTGATACATGGTTGTGGAAACCATCTAGCGAAATTTTGTATGCACATGTAGCTAGCTAGGATGGAAGACTGGCTCTGCATTATCAGAAAAGGCTGACATTGCCATCAGCCTGCTCTATCGTACCCACACCGCGTTTGAACACTTTTCGCTAATAGATGGTCTACGTCCCAGGACAGAAAGAGGATAACAAGTCAATTCGGACGTGCAGTTAACGAATACTTAGACGAACGTCCGGCAAGGATACCTAGGTTCAAATGTAAGCTGGGGTAACAAAATGCTGAGATAAAGACATACACAGCAGGATAGCCTTGACCTTGACCAAGCTGATACTTGGCCGCAGAGGCGTTCAGATTACAAGGAAATGGCGGCAGACCATCGCCGCCAAGAACGCCCTGGATGCCCCTCTTTTCCTTCTCAAATATGGCAGCGAGACCACGCTCTTCTCCTTGTTGTTTAACCTCAACCAACTGCTGCTCTCCTGCCTGCCCGATCTGCAGAACGCCATCCTTAGGCACCGCCCGGCTGCCTACTGTAAGAAGGCCAACAGCATCTGCCTGGTTGACTGTGCTAAGTCTGGGGTAGTTTCTCCGAGCGTCGCGCTTCCAGTAAGGGTTGTCGGCAATGTCTGCTGCTGGGACAGTGACGGGATCATCATAAGATTGCGGCGGGAGAGCACCAGGAGTCGGAAGTCGATATTGCGAGTTCAGTGGTACTCCGGTAGAGCGATTGGGATCGACGGCAAGAAGACGGCGAAGACGTTCCCATATCCCGGTAGACTGCACGGTGTATTTCTGATTATCAAAGAATTAGAAGTGAAAATTACCACCATCAGAATAGTGAAAATGCCTACCTTATGGACGGCTATCGCGTTCGATGCGGACTTGGCCGCTTTGAGGATGTCGCGAGCCATGATGGAGATCCTATCCAGTTTGCGTGTCAGCCTCACAATGCCTCGGTTGTCTCACTGTTCTTGATGAAGACCAGTATAATGAACCTTTGGCTTACTTGAGTCCTGACCTCCCGAGGTTCTCGTCTCAACAATATGTGTATTCACTTGCCCTACGAAGGGGCGGAATCAATATGGCTGTACTCGGATGGACGAACTGTGAACGGGTATTATGTTTTTCCGAGTCCGTACCTCCTGATACCCGAACATCCACTGGCGATCGGTAAGAAACGTACCCATACAACGTGTAAGAAGCTTCCCTAGCTGATATCTAAATGCATGGATGAGCTGTTGACCCCTCGCACTAAACTGATATGTGGAGTTTCAAGTCAAGTTCGGCGTAACAGAAGGAACTTTGCTGATTCTTAGTTAGATACGATATCTCGACCCCGCAAAGTGACAGATAGAGATATCGGATTTCATCTCAAGCACCTTCGTGGCCAACACCTGCAGAAATATTGTGACAGGAGTAGGACCATTGACCGAAAATAATAAGTTATAGGTTATTCATCCCGATAACACCCATTGGAGAAAGTGGCTATACTGAACTAGAACCACCAGTAGTCATAACCATAAGCTTTCTTCATTTCCGTAGGTGGACTGGATTAACTTTCTCTTTCGTTGCAAAGATTGTCGACGTATGAAGTATGACATGAGGTATGGAAAGCGATCTCAGGATCATTGATATTACATGGGCCCTCAGAGCTGAAACGTGCTCTTAAAAAAAGGTCTGACACCTGAACCCCACTTCCATCATGAACTTCCCGTCACTCTTTGCTCTGTCCCTGCGTCTCTTTGTTGCGTGCTGAGATCAATTGCTGTACAGCATCCATCGTTGCATCTGGCCCACCAGGTTGCAAAAGTAGGACCTTTCCTTGCTTATCAACAGCGAAAACCCCCCTTGTCGTACCTCTAGGGGCCTTCTTAAAGCCAAGGGCCGAAATGAGGGTAGACGCCGTATCGCATAGTAGAGGATAGGGGAGGCTCTGCTTGGCTTTGAACGAGCTGTTTGCTTTGATGGAGTCCGCCGAAAGCCCATATATCGATAGGCCATTCGATGTTATATAATCATACTTATCGCGAAATAAGCAAGCCTGCTTTGTGCCTAACAAGCAATGAGCGTTCTTTCGACCCCGGGATTGTTAATTCGTTGCAGGAGCCAGGAACTATAGCGCAATACCGCTAACGAGAGGAGGGATGCAACCGCTCTTCCCCGAAAATTCACGGAGTACTACTCTCGGGACATTCAAGGAAGAAATGTGGGAGAGATAAACTCACAGCCAGGCGTGGACGCTCTTGGGTACGTGAACAAAACAATCCCTGATTTGCTTGTGTCGACGAGATGTTTGAGGGTAGTTTTCGTCCCATCATTGAGTTCTACATCGCCACCAAAGTTATCCAAGTAGATAGTGTCACCGACAGTTGGAGGTTTCTTGTGTGAGACGTGCGTAGAGCGCTCATCTTCCTTGTTTAATTGTACCAAGGTTGGATTGGTCTCCTCACTCTTCTCTTGTATCCTTTTGCTCTTTTTTTCTGTGGCAGGGGGCTGTAAGGGTGCTTTCCGCTTCCTGAGTTCTACCATGATGCAAAAATGATATTCGAACAGCTGAAGGAGCAATTATCCTTAGTGGGTGGTATGTCGTCCGCGTCTTCTGAGATGCTTTTGATGCTGAGGGAGCGAGACCGAGAAGGGCCTAGAATACCTTTTTATATGTCTAGGATCCTTCTAGCAATGAACATCGGGATTATGCACAGTTACACACCGACTTTACTTTCCATGTCGGGAAGCAGCTATGACTGCTGCGAGTCCTCTTTTCCTGGTGGCTTAAAATGAGTTGAGTTAACTACAATAGTAATAGATCATAATAGCAACATTGAGAAATGGTAAATGTTTGGGTCCAGCGAGAAAAGTACGAAGACAAAATATGTGTGACAAGGAGCAGGAGATCCCTCGGGGTACCTGATAAGACCATATCATTAATTCATCATTATACCATCGTACAGGATCATTCCATATGGCTCTTCGGTCAATCTCTTGTTATGATCCATACAATTTTGAACTACATGATCAGTTCTTATAGAGAGGTAGATAATATGAACATATTATTAAGGTAGTTTATGATGCTGTCGCATTTTGACAGCCGAGAAATTCCGATCCCCGACCGAGCCCGCCTTTTCCCCGGGTTGTTTGCGAGTCGGATATGCTAAAATTTTCTTCTCCCGCGTTCCATTGCACGAAAGCCTGTGATCGCCGTCCAGTTTCATCATTTTTTCAAGACCTTCTTACTCATCCTGTAGTTGGATATTTGCCTCTTCTTTTATGCCCTTCCTTACTGTTTTAGGCTCTCTTTAATGAACACATAGACCTTTGCCCTTCTATACGCCATTTTATCGATATTCTCGAGTGCTCAGCTTGTTTGAATCCATTTCGACTGATTCGACGAAACACGACGTTCTGCAGACTACACTTTCGATTGTGCTCTTTAGCAAGCGACTCGGTTGCTTAGCGATCCCTGCTTCTATCACCGTCTCCAAGCTTTTCCCGTCATGAAGGTCTTCTCCTCGACGTGCACCTTCGATTATTCTTGGGAAGAGGTTTCGACGGCGAACTGGCGCAAATATTGCCCTTGGAATGACAAGTCGACCCATGTTGTGGCGGTAGACACCATATCTAGGACGGTAGATCCGAAGACTGGCATTGTGGGTTTTCCTACCAAATATTATCATTCTCTACTTCTCGGACGAAATGGCTAACCTGAATGCCCCATTCAGTTGCGCACGGAACGCCTCATCACATGCGATCAATCAGTACCGCAATGGGTTCTCTCACTGTTCGGGGGAAGCGCTACTTCTCATGTGTACGAAATCTCATATGTTGATCCTGGCGCAAAGAAGGTCACTATGTGCTCAACGAATCTCACGTGGTCCAACGTCTTGAACGTGAGAGAAACTGTTATCTACCAGCCTTCGTCATCAAAACCAGAGTCGGTGACGGATTTCAGTCAAGAGGCCAAAGTCACTGCCCTTTGCGGCGGCTGGCAGAAAATCAAGAATAAGGTAGAGGAGGCTAGCATCGAGAGGTTCAGCCAAAATGCCAAGAGAGGTAGAGAGGGTTTCGAGACTGTTCTTGAAATGAGCCGAAGGGTTTTCGGTGAGCAACGTGAGTTCGAGAACAAGAAATTACAGTCCTGAGCTGCACATTTTCTGTTGAACTCGTCGCCATTATAGTCATTAAGCGGTTGCATTTACTGGCGTTTTCTTAAGTTGTTCTATCTTTGTTGTCGATGCATGCGATTGAGCCGGCGTTCTGTTCAGTTCCATCTGCTTTTGTGGTCTCACTTTTGGCGCATGCATACTCCTTACACTGGACTTGATCATACTCGACGGCTTTGATGCCCCGATTCCTACGATGTTCATGGCTTCAAAAGTGATACCAACCCATGCTTGTTGATTCATCTTCTCTCGATATTATGCTAGTCTCCTATGTTTACTGGTTCTGCGTGTGCTAAGTGAAATTATGTGAAGCAATATATCATGTCTCATTAATCTAGAATAGAATAGATCTTGTCCTTTCCTTCGAAGGACCATTTCATAAATCTACGTGGCACCAAATGTATTACCCACCTCAGGAGTATCCGCGCTCCTTGATCGAAAGGCCCATTTACAGCAAATGCCACATACCAGTTATGGGACTTCCGCAAGGGACATTGCGTTTTGAATCAGCCTAGAAGACCGCCCAAAACAACACGACTGACACCAGCTATTTCATTCTTTGCGCTGGTTCTACTGGCATCCTCGAACTCTCGAACGACGCCTGTGACCATTATCTTCCGAAGCTTTGCATCTGCCTTTGAGAACATCTCGCCCAAAGCAACTGTGCATACAGACGGAGTGGAGACCAAAGCGGTGAGCCTGGTATAGCAGTCAATCAATACGTCACAAAGAGTGGCGAAGGTTTCGAAATAATCCGGCTCAAATGGTAAAGACGGCGTCAAAAGATAAGAATATTCCTCGCCCGGGAGAAGTTCGGAGGCTTCACTGGTGGGGAAGGAAACAACAGCGGCAGCTGCTGTTGTAGACGAGGTGATGTTCCCCGTCATGGACTTCAAGTCAGATGGGTCGCTAGATTGCATGGGAAGACCAATCTCCGTTGCAGAGCTAGCCCTCCTGCCCTTGGTTCCAGCGTGTGCCGCTCTTTTGAACATTTGCGGAATGCGTGCTCTTGCCAGAGTTGATGATGAACTTCCATCCGGTGGATGGACTTGCTGAAATGCCTCAAACTCAATCAAAAGCGCGTTTAAGGCGCGTAAGTATTCCGACGGTGATGAATTGACGTCCAAAATTGGCGGAAGTGATAATCCGAGAAGAAGATAATTAATGGCGCGACGGGATAGTTTGCGAGGATCAAAATAGGGGATTCGGCTGATGTCAGAGCGAGAGAAGTGTACTGTGTTGAACCAATAGATACGACCTTCATGGCTGTAGCTTTATCAGTGGTTGGATTAATGAAGAAGGGCTGCTTTTTGCTTTGAACTCACGCTTTCCTAAGGTAATCCAGAGTGGATATCCTTTTGGTAGCCATGTCGTGAATATGCTGATAGATAGCTCCAGCGCTCTGAGGACCGAATGATCCTCCCCCACTTGTCAAGGGAGGGGCCCACCCCTCCTACACCTTCATGTCCAACACTTGATTTGTTTGTGTCTCTGCGAGAAAGGCTGGGGGTAAAGGTTGACGATATCATGCTTGAACTAGGCGCCGGACAAAGAGCAGCTCCAGCAGTAAGTGAAGCAGACTAGTGCCTGCTCCCATAGAGAGATAGCTGGTGAAGACTCGTTTGTGCACAGCAGTCGAAAAAAAAGGATTGGTTTACGAGTTCCGGATATGCCTCGACCGATGTTGCTCGATATTTTGGAGATCTATGTACGGAGTACGAAGTAGTTAAAAAGTCCCCCTACACAAACAATAATGCATGGGGCCGGCCCTTAGTTGATCCTGGGGGGTTCCAAGCCAGGAACGGGTTAGCCCAACCCACGCACCCCAGAGGGGCGCGCCACAATAATAATAATGGTATCCGTACCTAGGATAACCAATCTACCAAAGGTGCATTCCAAGTCAAACTACTCTTGAGTGTCCCAAGGAACTGGACGTCATGGCGGAACACTGGCATGCTCACCAAGGTGCCAGGAGAACCATAGTTATTAGTTAAACTTGACCAGGCAACTGTTTATCCGTCACTTATATCAATTTACGCGGGTAAATTGGAATATTTATTTGGTTCCCAGTCTCGTTCTGCCTACCTAAATAAGGGTGCCGTCGATCTCGTAGCTCATGCATAGGATATGCTCTGTAACAGCTAGAACTACCGTACAATAGATAACACTCCACACAACCCCACCTCCTTTTTGATTCTGTAACTTCTGGCTTGATCAACTCGCCTTGTCGCATCAACCTTCGAGTTTCGCCGATTCTTGATACCAGGCCATTTCCGCACCAAAATCGACGCGCTCGTCTACATTACCACAAGGATCTATTTGCTAATTGCCAAAAAGCGCCTCTCCAAACTATGAGTGTGTCGCCTGAAGAATTGGTCCCTGCGCCAGGACAGTGGCCTGTGGATCCTCAGGATGATGTACCTATACTGGAAGATCGTATCTGGGTAGATGGGTGTTTTGACTTTAGCCATCATGGTGAGAAGGCGTTCTCCGCTGCTCTCAAGTCATAGGATTCCCTAATCAAAGGTGACTGGATTGATGTAGGACACGCCGGTGCTATGCTTCAAGCCCGTAGACTGGGTAATGAACTTTATGTTGGGGTACACTCGGACGAAGCAATTCTTGAGAACAAGGGCCCGACAGTAATGACGTTAGAGGAACGGTTAGTCTTTTCCTGAAAAACTCGGGTAGGTCAACTTACATTGCTGATAACGGTAACGTGCTTTAGGGTAGCTGCCGTGGAAGCATGCCGCTGGGCCACTCGTTGTATTCCACGAGCACCTTACGTGACTTCTCTCTCATGGGTATCACACTATGGGTGCAAGTATGTCGTTCATGGAGATGATATCACATCTGACAGCAACGGAGAAGATTGCTATCGATTTGTCAAGGCAGCTGGGCGCTTTCGGGTCGTGAAGAGAACCCCTGGCATTTCCACCACCGATCTTGTCGGCCGTATGCTCCTATGCACCAAAGGGCACTTTATAAAGAGCGTCAAAGACACCCTTGCGGGAGTAGAGGGATCCGACAATCAGGAAGAAAGGAAACAATTCGGTGTGGAGCTAATGCAAAGGATCCGGGACTATGCAACAGATGAGAGTGGCTTGCGCCCTGGTCCTCAGGTTTGGACTTGGACCGGTTCGAAGCCGGCGAAGGTTAGCGACACGGTTGAAGAAGCTGGTACATTCGAAACTCTGGTGAATGGCAAAGCAATCAAGCCAGGGCAGCGGGTAGTCTATGTGGATGGCGGCTTCGATTTGTTCTCCTCGGGTCACATCGAGTTTCTTCGACAGGTTATAGAGCTTGAGGAGTTGGAAGGCCGCCAACGAGGATGGTATGACACGGAACAAGTCGAGAAGAGACTTCACGACTTCGGTGAAGACTATCCCCCGGCTTATGTGGTTGCCGGCATTCATGATGATGATGTGATTAATCACTGGAAGGGACTCAACTATCCTATCATGAATATTTTTGAGCGGGGACTTTGTGTCCTTCAATGCCGAGTATGTTCCTTTCCCTCAATCGATGGTTCATACAACCTCTAATGATTTCTCCCAGTATATTCATGCCGTTATTTTCTCCGCGCCCTTCTCTCCTAGCCAGCCGTATTTGGAAGCCATGCCATTTGGTGTCCCGAATGTTGTTTATCATGGGCCAACAACCTTCATTCCACTGACATACGATCCTTACGCTGCTCCCAAAAGAATGGGCATGTTTAGGCAGATAAGCGATCATCCTTTTCAGCATGTGAATGCTGGTGAGATTGTTGATAGGATACTCAGAAGCCGTGAGGCTTATGAAGAGCGACAACGCGCCAAGCTACAGAAGGGCATTATTGAAGAACTGGTCAGATCAGAAGGAAAGAGTCTGGCTGGGGAACATGGTGCATAGTGACTTGATGATCCCATTGTAAAGTATCATGAACTAATCGTTAAGGCTGTCGTCGATCAGATTCTAGTAGTAAGCTAATCATCTTGCAGGTGAAGTTCTGACGCTTTATTTGACTTTAATACCAGCTCAAACTAGAGATTACTATAGTACCGTAAATTTGACAGTGCCAATATAAATGCCGACTAAGAGGTAGATGAGCACAATTTGTAGCCTTCAAGTTATTGAGTAGAACAAAGGTTAAAACCACGTCCTTGCCTTTTAAGAATATTAGTACAGCACAACATGGAAATCATGAATAATTCTACAATGAAGAAGATGAAATAGTAAATGAGTAAACAATCTGCCCTTTATTGAACCTCACGCATAAGTCAATCAGCTGCCACTAGGACCCCTTTCTCCTCAAGCAGCTTTGCGAGCTCTCCGTTCTGATGCATAGACATCAGAATATCGCAACCTCCAATAAACTCCTTGTCAAGGTATAATTGGGGTATTGTTGGCCAATCAGAGTATTCCTTTATACCTATGGAAGGCCGAGAGATTTAGCCGGACTGAGACTCACACGCAAATACACACAACCTGCTGTTCCTGAAAAAGGGTCACTATACATACCCTGACGCAGCTCGGGATCCTCCAACACGTTGAACGCGACAAATTTCTTCGGGTCAACCCCCTGCAACCCCAGAATCTGTATGCTGGCTCGAGAAAATCCACATTGTGGTGTCTCCGGAGTGCCCTTCATGAAGAGAACGACAGGTGCAGACGCAATGGCTTTGTCAATTGCCGACCTTGTTTGTTCCGAGAGAAACCGGGCATGGAGGGCATGCGGCAGTTGGAAAGCCGTGAATCGTGGAGTCAAGACAAGTGGTGACCGGGAAAGAGGTCGGAATGCCTGGATGGACACAAGTGAGCTCATAATTGGCGAACAGATTGCGGGAGCAGGTAAAGTAGAGAGGTATGCTTGACTTACTGACGCGAAAGCTTGCCTTGGAAACATCATATCTTTGTCAAGACAGGCCGGACTGAACTCTGGAGAAAGTTTTATCTGATACAGATAAAATGCTTGTAATATTCTATAGACATACGTACAACCCAAAATAAGGTAAATGGCGAACCTTATCATGTGACGTTAGTTCCCGTGGCTCCCAGTCCCCGCCATGAAACAGAGGTACCCCCAGGATCGATGCTTGGGATTGCGGATGAAAAAGCATTGTCCGAATCGCATCGCCGTCAGCCTTGAATTGTCACCGATCTATCCAAATAAAGGGCGTGCGTGACTCTATCAGTTAGATGCTTGGATGGCCCTTGGCAGTCCTGCTCGATCACTCGTATCCACGACAGCTGACATCATCGCGTATGATAACGGTTCCTGTCCGAGTGTTTAGTCATTGTGTGAAACGTCGAAGTTCGATGGAAGGCACTGGGACTTTCTCAGCTGAAGAGCAATTCAAAGATAAGAAAATACACATTCTTTTAGCAGCAAGCGGGAGCGTGGCAGCGATAAAATTGCCGAATATCGCGGAAGCTCTTGCCCGGCACAAAAATGTCTGTATTCGCATCATTGTGACCAAGTCTGCGGAGAAATTTCTTTCGGGTCAAAGCTCAGAGCAACCTCTACTCGATGCGCTAAAGCAGCTACCTGGGGTTGATGCTATTTACCGAGACGAAGACGAGTGGAGAGACCCCTGGATTCGTGGCGAGCCCATTTTGCATATTGAGCTTCGAAAATGGGCCCACGTCCTGGTTGTCGCCCCTTTATCGGCGAACACGCTGGCGAAGATGACAATGGGGATTGCGGATAATCTGCTTCTCTCCGTCATTAGAGCGTGGGATACCACTGGGAAAGTAGACTTTGGTCTCAAAGACAGAAAGCCTGTGGTGTTCGTTGCTCCAGGTGAGATGCGTCAATATATACTTGTTCACTGTCAAATTTTGTTCTAACTATCAATAGCTATGAACACCGCGATGTGGAATCACCCAGTCACTAAAAGGCAACTCAAGATCTTAACTGACGAGTGGGGGGTGGGTGGGACAAATGGAGAAGGTTGGGTCTCTGTACTTCACCCAATCGAAAAATCTCTTGCTTGTGGTGATACTGGTAATGGTGCCATGATGGATTGGAAAGATATAGTCAACGTAGTAGAGCATCATCTCGGTATCAGTAGTGTTAAGATAAAAGATATTCGCTGCGGAAGTTGAAAGTAACCTTTATCCTGTCCTATGTTCGTGAGTGCTATCCTCTTAATGTAAGTTATTATCGCTTTTATACAGGCCAGTGGTTTGAGCTATATACTCAAAGAACATCCCCAAAGTGATGCCGCCCCCAGTCAGCAAACATCCGTTCTTGAACCACCACCAGCAGTTCTTGACATTCTTCAATTGGACCTTCCAAATCATGATACCGAGGGAAACGGCTGCGCTGCCGCAGGTGCCGACGAAAAAGATAGGTCCAGCACCTGCTGCTACTCCTGCAGTAGCGAGCAGCGCTACTTGAACTGCTGCCAGACCAGAAAGAACTGTCTTAGTGTTATGCTCATGTCGAAGGGCAATTGACTTGATCCCCGCCGCGACGTCGTCTTTTATGTCCATATGTGCGTAGATCATATCGTACAGCACTGTCCAGGCAACACAGCTAGAATACAAGGCAGCTGCGGCTTCCAAAGCAGCATGGTTGCCAAGAAGATCGACACCCAGCGCTGGAAATCCCATGATAGCACCCCATGAAAATGTGAGACCCAGAACAGCCTGAGGGTAGTAAGTGACGCGCTTGGCGAGAGGATATGTCGTCACCAACAGGAGGCTGGGAATACCATACCAGAGACACTGGGAGGGAAATTGTAGCAGGACAGCTAATCCGGCTAGAAGTTGGGAACAGGTGAAAATCAATGCCTTCTTAGGAGATAGGGCACCTCGCGCAATCGGCCGGAATTTGGTGCGTTCGACATACGGGTCCAGATTCCTGTCCCATAAATCATTGATCGCACAGCCGGCGCCTCTCATGATCAATGCACCCGTGAAAAAAAGACCAGTAGTGCCAAGAATCTGCATAGGTGTGGCAGATGCCATAGGTGCCGCGAGGAGTGTCGAGAAAACACATGGGAAGAAGAGGTAGTATGTGCCAGTAGGTTTATCGAGGCGTATCAACTCAGCGTACGGGATCCATGATTCGGGAAGAGAAGCAACGAAGCCTTTTTGGGGAGGTATATAGTGTGTTGCGGGATTATTGTCTGTTGTGGCTGCTGGGGACTGGGAAGAATGTGGCCGATATTTTATGGGAGATGTTGTCCCCTTCGTGATCGCTGACCTGGTTTTGGCAGTATACGCTGATTGGCGTCCTGTTGAAATGACCCTCGACGAGGTATTCAAGGAAGTGCGATTGCAAAGTAAGCGGTAGCGCTTGTCGTTCAAGAGACTACTTCCTGTTCCATAACGTCTGCAAAACTGATCAAGACGAACAGGAGGGAAGTAAGAGAACTGCAATCTCATTTTATAATGAGCTGTGATCGGAGAAAGCCTCCACAGATTCTTCCTCAACGAGATTCAGTCCGGATAGAGCTGGCCGACTGACTCCTACTGCACGAAACAAGAGTTAGCCATGGATAACCAAGAAACAGCTAGAGCTGAGCAAAGCTGGTTTATCACCGGTCAGATTACTCCGTACCGTGATTGAAATAGCACTAGATGCACTACCATGTGTCTCACCACAATTAGTACTCCTAATTAATAGCAATATGACATCTGGAAGGGCCGTCTGGGCTTCCTTCTCAGTCTCCCCAAGTTCAAACCGTCGTAGCAGTAAGATGCATGTAAATCAAAATGTTAATGTTTCACATGTCCGCCAGATTTCACACCCGTAATTGATCCACCTGCCCTAGAAGGAATAGCGCATGCAGGTAGTAGATCACATACCTAAGTCATGGACTAATCAACACAAGGCTGGTTGACCTTCGAGGACGCAAAGTATCGACTGTTCCGAAGTCTAGGATGTTTGGGACATCCATAAACACCTGGGACAGGGACACTACCCTACTATGACTAGCGAAGCAAGCTTCAAAAGTCATTGTAGACCCCTACCAAAGGAACAACAACAATTCGAATTGGTTCCGAAAAAGCTGGCAGCGTTCGATCATTACCTCCATGCCAGCGCGACTACAACCCGCTCTTTTACAGTTGTACCATACTCAAGCGAATATCGAACGACTGCTTGGTCACTGAACACGGCTGCACACATACATCTATTTGGTCTATGGACAGACCGGCAGCTCTGCCTTATTGATTGTGAAGCATTTGAAAGTCTTCCTGGCTGAGACAATACGTGACTGCCGGCTTTCTCAGTAACACATCGCGATTAGTGACAGCGCAGATCAAGCAATTCTGGACCTTGACGAGCTTTTCTTTCGTAACTATCATTCGATATACGGTCTTCGAAGCAAAATGCCCGCCCAACGTCCCCGTGCGGCCTTTGAACCAATTCCACCTGATCTGGATATCGCTGCACTCGTGGAATCTACACCAAATTTTGAGTACGTGGTTAGAATTCACTGCAACTCCATTGATGAACACGGTCTGGACAATTTCGACAAACTCGTTTGCTTGCACGTCATTCTAGGCGGAAAGCCGTTAGTGATTGAAGGGTTTCATGAGAGGCTGGACCGCTCTGTTTTCTCTGAGAAATGGCTAAGGAGCCATCATTCAACGAAGAGTAAGTCTGCAAGCTTAGCGATGCTGTCTCGCACCTATGAGTCCCTGACTAATCTCAAACTCGCGTTTCAAAGAGGAGATTGCTCGAAATTTGACCACGAAGAGTAATCTTCCCCTCTCGATTGGCCACTATTTGAAGAACATGCCACTGTTAACTAATCAATGGAATTCATTCAATTACAAGAACTCTGATCGACAGCGGATCTATCTAAAAGATATTGATTGTCCACAGACATGGCACGATCATTTGAAGAATCTCATTCCGCCGCCGCTTTTTTATCTGAATAAACACCCAGAAGCATTCCAAGGCCCAGGTGGAGTATCAGTCACAGCTACTGAAGGGCATTTGACTCACGCGGAACCCGGCACCAAGGTTGGAAGGCCTGGTGACCTCATGAGCTGCCTTCCGGCGAGCATGCGCGCCGAAAATCTCATGTGTTACATCGGTCATGAAGGCACCTATACACCGGCACATTATGAAATGTGCGCAAGTCTCGGTCAGAATATAATGGTTGAGGCATCGGATGGCTCAGTTGAGTATGGTATGAAAACTATACCAGGGTCGTCCATCTGGTTCATGACGGAGAGCAAGGATCGGCGAGTCGTTTCCGAATACTGGCAGTCGACACTGGGCCATGACATCGATATCGAGGATCATTTCGCGCAGATCAATGCCTGGAAAGCCGCTCCATTCAGAACATATGTCGTTGAACAAAGGCCAGGTGATTTTATTCTGATTCCCCCGCTGGCAGCGCACCAGGTCTGGAACCGCGGAACAAGGACGATGAAAGTAGCTTGGAATCGAACTACTGTGGAAACTCTGAGCCTAGCCTTGAGTGAAGCCCTTCCGCATGCTAAGATGGTCTGTCGGGATGAGCAGTACAAGAACAAGGCAATTGTGTTCTATTCGCTTGAGCATTACTCAAAGCTCCTTGAGAACGTCGATGGGAAAAGTATGGATGGCAAGCAGCAACTGTTGCTCAAAGACTTTGAGCATCTTTTCGCACTGTATACCCAGATTTTGCTATCTGAGAGCTTTTCACAGGATAAAGCGGAAGAGAAGGACGTCGAATACATTCCCTTTGACAGTAACATCACCTGTTCATACTGCAGGTGCAATATTTTTAATCGATTTTTGACTTGCCCGTGGTGCGCGGGTGGACAGACTGCCGATGGCGAGGACCCCTACGATATCTGCATGGAATGTTATGTCATGGGCAGAAGCTGCGCTTGCCTCTCGAGATTAAAGTGGGCTGAACAGTTTCCTTGGAGTGAGCTGACCGGGAAATATGAAAACTGGCGAGACCAAATATGTCAGCTCAACCAGAGCAACCCGAACGGTCAGATCTTCTGGCCCCTCGCCGAGGAGCGAGCTCGCTACGGCAAGAAAACGCTAGCTGAGATGTGCCAGGGGGAACTGAAAAGACGACCGTGGGTTGATATCACCAAACCGGTGACGCGCAAGCTCGAGGACAATTTGAGCGATCCAGAAAGCCCCGCTCGAAAACGGAGGAAGACTCGCCTCAGCCACGAAACTGAAGAGGGTGGTCGCTGCCACATCTGCAAGTATATTGAGCCGATATGGAGGCTCGCTTCTTGCGACTATTGCAACCAAAGCTACTGTTACGGTAGTCTGTTTAGAGCCTTCAATATCCAACCTCAAGAAACCATGGAAGTGTATCGTTGGATGTGCCCTAAATGCCAAAAGATTTGCAGTTGCGCAGCGTGCCGTCGAGATCCCTCGATGAAACCATTCGAACCAACCTGTACACTACTCGGCCATGATACAAGGAAAATAGCGGATCCTCGCAGTGTGGAAAGCCTGGTCGACTTCCGGCAGTCGAATCTCAGGTGGTTAAAAAAAGCAGGCGACGACGAGATAGAAAGACTGAAGAAGCATCAAAAAGAGGCAGACGAAAAGCGTCAACTGGCTATGATTGAATATCGTATTCAGTTGGAGGATTCTCCTCGAGTATCCGCCCGGGCGACGGAATATGGCGACATACCAGTCGATCCCGCATTGGAGAAATTAAGTGGCTCAATTCTTACCCCGCCAGATTCCATCACCCCGTGAGACAGAAAGAAAGTTCTTAGAATGGGAGAGAACCATAACGTGCCCGGTTCGGCTTCATCTCAGTTAGGCGGCTTAGTACAGATCAGACGCAAGTTTGACAAACCAGTCGTGGTACGATTCAACGATTCAATGAGAGAGGTACTCAGCGTCTGGAAATCAGTATGCGGGTGATATGCAAGGATTTTTGTTCTTTTCAGGCCCAGCTCTATCGTTGAGATTTGAGCCCATTTTTGACCCCCAACCATGCTGCCATTCATCGCTGATTACATATAGAATATGTTAGTGACAGAATAAGACATCCCAGAGAGGATCAAGTGGACCTAAGATCGTTCGACATGCATAAGATTCGCCTAGGCGCCCTTGTAATCATAGCGGAGGTTCTCAAGATGCCTGACGTCGACGGACGCCATTATTTTCCGCGCTATCAAAATGGCCGCGAGTATTGCTGTGGTGCATAAGCTCTCGCACTTGAGGCCAGAACATGGCGGTCAGAAGGTAGTGGCGGGCCCGAGACTCACCTGCTGGAATGAAATATGTAACGACCGCAGTCGGCGAGGTCATGATAGACGCAAGCGCCAACAATGCACACAATGCAGCGTTAGTAGGGATGGCATATTTTGGGGCAGACGTGATGAGGTCTGTCTTTGTGATAGACCTTTTCCCTTTGGGGTCTGGACGCTCGATTGCATGATACTTCATAGTATAGGCCGTCAACAACAGGGAAATGACACTTAGAATGGAGAGAAGCCGTTCAGATAAAGTCGATGAGCTTGAGATAATCGGTGGGACGTATATCGTTGCTGACAAGAGGGGAATGACCGAGAAGATGATCTATATGCAACATTATATTTAGCTCTGATTTCTGTGCTGATAATGTCGACGAGGATAGAGGAGAGTTCACAGTATACTCAGAATTCCGCTTGTCATTCTGTGCCTGTAATTGTCTAATTACGACGTCCTGTTCTACAAATCTCTATCAGTATATTGTATATACGATGAAAGACACCTAACAGACCCTCTTCGTCCAGCTCTTCTCGGCTCTGTTCATCATCACCTGAATCATCAGGGTATCGAAACGCTTTGCGAAGTCTTGTAGTAGCCATGAATCAGATGTCTAGCTATATTGACCGAGGCCGTAGTATGAAAGTTGAGGCAACTCTTTGGCAATAGAGGAGAAGGAGCTCCTAGGACAATCCAGCGCGACGTACAACGGCGCTGGCTCCGAAGGTTGGTTTGTCCTGTTTGGCAACTTTGTTCTTTTAGGTAGTCGCTGGTGCAAAACATTCTACCATCTGGGCTACCACTCACTGCATGACGGTTACCTACTTGTTACTCGTCTTTTCCCGACTCCCGTTAGTCCTTTCGCAACTGATCTGACAATGGCGCTTCATATTGCGCAAAGGCGCATTGGCGTCCCACGAGCCTTCCTGCTTCGTCGCCGCAATATGCCTCCTCACCGCAGTCTTATTCCGGCCCCCAAGGCCAACTCGGGCCCTTTGATGGAGCGACGGGCGGATCGAGAGCTTCCTTCTATCAATACTGAGAAGCGCCGATGGATCAAGACGCTGCCGATATTTGTGGTAGTTGTGGGAGCTGCAATGCTTGGCATATTTAATTACCAGAAGTCGTCGTCGAGCGTCGTGAGCAGCACGTTATATGCCCTTCGAACTTCACCTCGTGCACGGGAAATCCTGGGAGACGAAATCTACTTTGCTCAAAAGATACCGTGGATTAGCGGGGAAATGAATCAGCTTCATGGTCGTATCGATATCTCCTTTTGGGTGAAGGGGACAAAGGGTCAGGGGAAAATGCGGTTCCGAAGCATTAGGCCGGACCGCATGAGCTTTGTGCGTGACTTTGCCTGATGCACACCACTTTCAAGACCCAGCTAACAGTTCTCGCTTTCGAACAGTTTCGCACTGAAGAATGGAGCCTAGAGACGGAGGACGGCCAAGTCGTGCAGCTACTTGACCATGACAGTGACCCTTTTTCCCAAAGCAATTGAACCATCATTCGGACATTAAAACTCCCACCAAGGATCATTGGCACACATGATTTTTATAGGTTTGTACATCGGAGTCATCTTCATGCATAGGATTAGGCGTTTTTTGGGCTTCGGACTGTCAGCTCCACCGGCTATAGCGTACGGAGAAACCGTTCGAGTGATTCGGAGGAAATGCCAAACAGGATATCATTTATGTATCATATACAGACGCCGCTCTAGAAACAGGATAGTGTAATAATACATTGAAGGGATCAAGACTCCAATATCTCCTCGTGGGCTATGCAGCCGATTCGGATACAGGTGCAACCTCTGGCCAGGGCCTTTTGATAGCGTCCTGGATCCTGACTACGCATCCTTTAGGCCCGCTGACGGAACCTGCAACAAGATCAATATCGACCATTAACAATGCTGTATTGAACGTTGGGTATCGGAAAACATACCGTTGACAACGACAATACCGTTCTCTGCGTCAACCTTAAGAACTTTCAAGTTCTGCACGGTATTTTGCTCATTACCCATGTTTCCCGCCATTTTCTTTCCGGGATATACCCTGGAGCCACCACCTTGACTAGGCCCGGCCGAACCAAGCGACCGATGGGTTAAACTGACACCGTGACTGCGGTCCTGTCCATGAAAGCCGTGTCGCTTCATCACACCGGCAAACCCTTTACCCTTAGAGTTGGACCGGGCATCGACATACTGACCTTCTTGAAACCAGTCTGCATTGATTATTTGGCCGACAGGTAAGAGGCCGCTCTCATCTTTGACACGGAACTCGTAAACGTGTCTCTTTGGCGAGACACCGTTGGTCGAAAAATGGCCTAAGAGTGACTTCGTCACATTGCTGGGATGCTTCCAACCAGCACCGACCTGAACGGCATTATATCCATGCGTCTGTCTTGTCTTGTGTGAGACGACTTGTACTCGATCGAGCTGCAGAACAGTGCAAGCGATGCGTTTCCCAGTTTCGGCATCGTATACGGCGGTCATTCCTTTCTTGATGGCGATGGCACCGGTGCGAAGAGGTAGAGTATTCGCCTTGCGTTCCAAAGCAGCCGTGGTCGTCGACTTAAGCACAGGTAATTCAGGACCGATATTGAACCGAGAGGGTTTAGGTGGATTTAATGATTTTATGCCGAAAGATCGTACAGACACATTGCCAGTGATAGTGAGCGATTGAGGACCCAGGAAGAGAATAGGAAGCTGCGTCAGCTTCCTTGACAGTCGAGGCGGCATAATGAGTATCGTTTGACCTGTGATTGAATGATAATCGAGACAGTCTCGTCCCTTCGGCTTTCTTTTGAGATTTTCCCAACTGCGGAGAGCGTACGGAGAAGAGCTAAGGCGGTCAACAGCGTTTTGCCTGAGGTGTCAATATCGGGTAAATATACGACGGCCAATGGGAGTCCTTACTGGCGGTATCTCTCACCAAGCACTAGTACAGATGATAGAGGAACGGTCCTGATGGAAGCAAGTTATTGAAACGGAATTCATTATGCTAAATCCGGGCGAAAGTCGTTATCCAGGTATATCTGTCGCCTGCACAATAGAGTCATGCAGAGTATGTCATCCCGGCGCCCGGACGTATCGGCACGCCGAGCACCGGAAACTGTATCGAATCCTCAATTGGTAGCTTATTATTTTCTTCCCTTGGTGGCACGTCATTAAGAGTGAAAGCAACAACTCCTGACAGGCGCCCTTCAGCTTGTCTCTTCAATCTTCTAAAGCCAATTGATCAACCGCTTGGATCCTGCAATACCCTCTTGATCATGTCTTTGAAATTCATATCTACACCGCGGTGGTTTTCGCACTTCATCGGTCAAACCGGCCATGCACCCTCATCATCTTTTTTCAGAAAGAATGTCACATCTTCACAGACACTGTTTACGCCCAATGTAGTTGCTTCATTCCCCTCTCGTCGAGCATTTGCTTCCTCCCCCGCTTGGAAGTTCAATCCACAATATCGATTTTTTCCCCGCCGATCGGGGTCAACTGCTACTTTTACATACAATCCCCCCAGCACTCTGCAGCGGTCAATCTTCCGGCGATTCAACTCATCGAGGGCAAATCAATCGGCACAGCCGGCTGAGTCAGGCTCGCTGTCTCAGCGGCTGAAAAAGCTGTCCAGGGAGTATGGCTGGGCTGCGCTGGGTGTTTACCTGCTGTTATCAGCCATGGATTTTCCTTTCTGTTTCATTGCGGTCCGCCATTTGGGTGTAGAACGAATAGGCCACTATGAACATGTCGTCGTCGAAACAGTCAAAGGCTTATTCGGAGCAAAGTCTGCACCGGAGGAACAGAGCCAGGAGGAGGTCTCAGCTGCCCAGTCTGGCCAGCAAACCGGAGAAGCTCAGAAGAAGAATAATGGCGACGGACCCAGTATGATGTCCCCTGACTTGTCTTAATCCCTGTCTCTTCGCTGAAGTTTTGCTGATCCATACGTTCTTTTCTTTGCGCAGGTTTGTGGACTCAGCTCGCCCTGGCGTATGCAGTTCACAAGAGTCTCATCTTCATTCGCGTGCCCCTCACCGCTGCCATCACCCCCAAAGTCGTCAAGGTCCTAAGAGTATGGGGGTGGGACCTCGCGAAGCGGAGGCCAAGGGGCATGTAAGCCCCGGGATCGCTCCCTGCGAAGTGCACTTCGAACCCGTCGTTGAGCCCTAGGTCGCTGCCGACTGTGGAAAATGATCATGTCTTTGCAAATATTGTCTTCTCTACTCTTTGTTCTTATTGGCATAGCGAATTGTAAGACTAGAAGGTGTATTATAAATGGTTGTAGCTGCAAAATCTAATATCAAAGAGACGTCGCACCATAATCTTGCCCACTTGTACATTTCCAGCCGGGGTATTCCTCCCAAGCGATGCTGTTGAACAGTAACCAATAGAGTTGATATGCAAAAGAAGAAAAGTAGACTTGATATAGCCGGGCATCGACTGCGTTCCCCGATAGAGACAAAAGCGATTCCATAGATAGGAAGAGACACCGGGGACGCCAAACAGTAGAAAAGCGAAAACAAGGAGACTAGCGACAAATGAAGTCAAAAGCCCTCGGGGAATGGAAAGCAATAACATGTCTACAACGGCTCAATGAACATCCACCCAAGGTTGATCAAAGATGGCGGAAATATGGACGATAATATAACTGATCGAGACAAGAGGCAAAGAAACAGAGCATTACATGTCAATCATGTCGTTGAATCTCAGAATGCCGTTGGCTTTCATAACACCATTGACACCGTCAGGCATTCGGTATGCCCACTCGGCGACGCCCATCGTATCAGCAGCTGCCAGAGGATTTTTTCTCTCTGGTTCTTCATCTTCGTCGGATGTATCGGCTACAAGGACAAGACCAAGGCCTTTGATTGTTTCCACAAGAGCTGGGACAACATTCTATAACACGTCAGGGACGTCATGTTAGCTGTAAATTTTTCACTCTTTTGGTGTCGAATGTATGTTGTGACATTGTGGGTACGTGATAAGGAAAAGGGGGAATAACGACGTACCAGAAGACTAGAGCGGCATATTAAGCCCATGAAGTTGTTGCTCTGCGCAATACGTGCTGACTCCTTGATTGACATCGACGCTCGGCCACTGCTGTCTACATCTGGCAAGGAGCCAATATCCCGAGCCAAGTCCCGAATTTGGCCAAGATCATTGCAAAGGAGCACCGGAACTGATAGACGGAGCTCAGGATTAGCCATAGAAACGAAGGCATGCGCGATAGTAATCACTTACAGTTCGGCTGCTTCCAGTTAAGAGCTGTACATATATTATGGTTATACGAGGTAAAGACCACAGAACGTAAGAAGTCCGGATTGTGCTCTCTTGCAACACGCGCATGATCGAATACCTCAGTCAGGATGGCATCCGCGAAGCTGTTGACGTCGGCTAGAGATGTCATATTCAGGTCTCGTTCTTCGGCAGGTGACGGATAGAGAATAGATAGATTGACGCTGACGCTGATCGGAAGGTGCCGCAGTACTTCTCGCAAGGAAAAAAAGGATGCTGCAAGAAGACGATGGGTCTGTGCAATATTGTTGGCGGCGTTTTCTTTCAGGAACTGTATCGTCTCAGCTTGATTCACGCCTCTCTCAGCGCCGACCGCCTTGAATTCATTGAATGACAGGTGGCAGATGGGTATTTCCACACTATGATGCTGAATGGTGAATCGCGGATAAAGCACAGGTACTCTGTCCCTGGTGAGCTGTACAAACAATTGAACATGATCCCCTGACAAGCTAGACCCTGTCACCAGGCCATTATGTTCAGAGTCGAGCGCACTGGTCGCCTTCCAATATGTCGCAAAGTGCGTAATCTCGAGAGGATCACCATGGTAAGGTTTGATGACTTGAAAGCCGAACCGTAACTGGCCGATTGAGCGTAGTCTAGGATCAAAGAGTGGCAGAGTACATGACCCGGTACTCGATTTTTCGGCTCTAAAAACGGTAGGTAGAGCGACACTTTTCGCGATCACTTTCGAACCAAAGGTAGGGAAGACCTCAAAATCAACGGCAAATGATTCTAGGTTATCGACATGAAATGAGATTGTCCTCGAATCTTCCTGAATAGGGAGCATGATTGTGCGAGGTATTAAATCGGAAAGCTTCGACGAAATGGTTAACCGAGCAGCAGGATGGCGACCTGCTTGGTCAAAGCAAAGCGAGCCTGAGCTACCTGGCTCGAATAGAATTTGGACGAATACCTTCTTATCCAGGAAGTTGTGTCCGTAGCGTCTCAAAGGAATGATGGGTGGGGGCAACGAAAGGTCAGGAATGCCATCAGCAGTGTCCATGTCACCCGAGGCCGCTATCTCGTGATTCATGGTAGTCGAACTTGGTTCCTGCAACCTCAAGCCATTGAGGATATCGAGGGGCTTTTGAGGTAATTGTGACTCACTACGATGAGACCACAGAAGGAGCATGCATTCCAGATGTCCTTCCCATGCGGCATAGTACATCGCGGACAGCCCTTTCTCATCGACAACACTCGCGTCGACCCCGAGTTCTAGTAGGGTACGCAAACAATTCACACAACCTTCACTCGCTGCGTGGAAAAGCGGTGTCCATTGATACAACTTGTCCCTCTGGTCCATATCAGCTCCGTGCTGTTTGAGAAGCAGCAATAGTTCTGGGGGCTGGGAAGCACGTGCAACCATGTGCTGAGGGTAGAGTCCCTCAGCGTCCGGAAGCAGTTGGGCATTTCGTTCGAGAAGCATTTTGACTATCGGTATTGAGCCGTGCTGGCAGGCGAGGTTGAGAGGAATATGGTCTGATTCGGATGCCGGTCCAATGCGAGCATTGTGCTCGAGAAGCTGCTCAGCACATGCCAACTGATCCTTGACGATGCTATGAATCAGCGGTGTAAAATTGTTGTGATCCGCGGTGTCTACTGTATCAGGGCCAACAGCCAACAGCTCGCGCACCATATCAACGCGACCATGCATACAAGCATAATGCAGAGGTATCCTGCCGTACACATCTGATCTGGACACATCGACCCCTGCTGAGATACCTGTCTTGAAAACAAAGTCCCGCCCTGAAATGGCGGCTTCATGCAAGCAATTTCGTTCATTGATATCATCTTCGGCATTGATATCAACTAATCCACTCTCCAGAAGAACTACAAGCACTTCATCGGAGTATTCGTTGATTGCTGCAAGAAAGGCCCGAGTCGCACGATCCCGGGCATCGGGGGCAGTATGAAGCTTGGCAGTCCACTCGCGTAAGGTTTGCAGATTGCCGGTAGTGGCAGATTGCAGGATTTGCGCATCGAGATCTTCCTCGTCGGTCCCAAAAGGCGGACCAACCCGGTCAGCTGGACGGGCTGTATCAAACTGAATGTTTTCGCCTTCCGCCCATGCTTCGAGTTCTAGGCGAGCTGTGGTTGCTCGGTCTGAAAGATCACGCAAGACGTCTCGATTGAAACAGGGTTGCACTTCGACGGCTCGATGGAGATACAGCTCCTTCATGCGAGACTACCAGAAGAATAATTTGTTAGTCTGGGACACAGGAAAAAAGGGTAGTACCCAATGCAAAGAGAGTGAAGTCATTCCAACCTTTGATGTTTTATCCCACTACATATTCCGTCAGCCGCAGTTTCCAGTAATTTGTCAACCTCTCCGTTTTGAGTCACGAACCTTTTTCAGAATTTTGGACATGGCAGTCTCATTTATTGCGACAAATTGCTATCGAAGAGAAGATAGACGGATTAGCACCAGAGAGCCGAAATGCTAATTCCAATGAGGCACACTCACTTGTAATTTGTTCAAGTCGCCATCGAACTGTTGAAACCCTTCGATCAAGGCCACGAAATTGGCTGGAGCCTTGGAGTGCGACACTGCCCAAGACTGAACGACTCGTTTCTTGTCCAAGAGGGTTTTCAAGCGCAGAGAGAACTATCCTCCAGTCAGCCATCGTCATATAGGGACACGTGTTTTGCCCGATAGGACAGGACATTCAAACCTCGGATTCTTTCTGCAGGTAAAAGATATTGACTTTTTCAATCTCACGCTCCTATATTGACGGTTACTCAGTATTTGTCACATGCATCGGTGATTGCAAATCCATACAAGTCGGAAGAAGAACACTTCCTTATTTGCGCGAAGGGCGGCTTGCGCATCGGGAGCATCCTGTCCTGCAACAGTAGCCTGCGCGGGCAATTTGGGCGTCGCGCTCAGTTGCTTTATGAGCTATTCGCAGAAAGCTAGTCAGTAATAAGGAAGCCACCGTCTGCATCTCAAACGGACCGACCTTCTTCAGAGCCTTGTAGTTCACGAAGCTGGCGGCATACTCCGGAAGATCAAGCTGCCTTCGTTGAATCTGCTTCCCGAACTTCCTATATATTGAAAATAATGATCAGCTCCATAACGCCCTGAAAGCAGTATTACTTGCGCCATCCAAAAAAAAAAAAAAAAAAAAAAAAAAAAAAAAAAAAAAAAAATTATTCCTAATGCGCCGCCGGAACCTACATCTTGAGAAGTTCTTGTGTGAAGTTAAATGGCTCTTGAACCGACGAATACCCCTACTGGCGATCAGCGTCGAACAACGAGAACCCGGATATCGGCAGTAGCAGATCGTACACCATCAATTGATCGCGCACGAAGCAGAAGAAGGGAAGGACAGGTCAATCCGGAAAGAAAGGATGAGGGAATTCCCTGCCCCGCTCTAAGCTCGAGACGACGACAGATGGACGATGAGGACGAATAGTCGAGTGGGTCGAGAGGACAGTCCGAAATCGTCAGTAGCGGTACGTAGTAGGAATAGAAACAATATCGGTAGGCGTTGTCCGGTTATACAAATGAGAGGCCACTGATCCTCGCAATGTGATAGTTTCGAGCTCGAAGGCGGAGAGAATCAAGAATGCACACATCCGGACCGGGTCACAGAATCAAGAGAAATGAAAGAGGGGGAGGCCGGACATCTGTCGTAAAGGTCCCTGTTGGTTGAAGACCCAGAGTAGGAAGGAAAGAGCACGAGAGGCAGATCGGGAGGTAATGCCTATAGAGTGCCGTCAAGTGTCAAAATAATAATAGTAGTAATTAGTAGGTAGGAACCTCGTCATTGGGGACTCGCTGGCAATTGCGGGCTAATAATGCCACTGGGAGGGGCTTTTCTGACCCCGCTTGTCAAGAGGGGTTAAAGCAAATTGGAACAGGATTGAAACCAGAATAATAAAAGAAATAATAATTAATAATTAGGGAAATCGAGACGATTTGACGGTGATTATTATTATTGATAGTGAGCAAGGGCAGCATGTACCAGAGTATCGACGGAGCACCTAAGCTCACGCCGCAGGACAGGAGAAACTAAGGTATGTACTAACGCCCTTACTAAGGCCGAACAAGAGAGTGGAGACCTCTGGGTAGCTGAATGCAGCAACCAATCACCACAGCAGATCTGCCCACGTTCTGACTATGTGAACAGCCAGCATCTGTCGGATTGCTCTGCTGTATGGATCGAGGGCTGCCACTCCAGAAAGCTAATGTAGCCGATCAAGAAAACTAGTTCCTTTAGATTCTAATTGTTTGTTGCTGACTTACTCAGAGAAGTGACAGACACCAACCATAGGCTGTTCGAGGGCAACGTGTTCTGCCGAATCCGTCTGGCAGCTGTGGCTAAGAAAATCTATCTACACTTTACGGAGTACTCTCGCTTCACTCGGTCTGCTAGACGCGGCGGTTGTCTGAGACATCAGGTCCCTTGCTCAGTAAGGTAGCCACCACTCTGAATTGACTTAAGCTACTCTAAGTGAACGCTTGGTGATCTAATCATCCGAGACATGTCTACTGCCCTCAAGTACATATCGCCAGCTTTCGTAACTCGTATGGTATAGACCTATATGATAGGTACCTATTATCAATGCAGGCATTCCGTTCAGGTGGATTAGTTGGAACTTAGGGCAGGTACCTTACTACCACTGGACGGCAACACTTCAATGATGATGTGTAAAATGATAGATAATACATTCTATGGTTGGTCAGGTAATTTACCTTAGCAGATATCTGTCTTCATAGTAGGTACCTTCCGCGCTCTGCAGAATGCCGTTCTAAAGATATGACGTTTGAATAGATAACATACCCTGGGTCTCAACTCAAGCCAATCATGGGAATATTCAAGTCTTTGATCGTCATCTGATGTCAGAGTGCATATTACGGAGTCTTAGTATCTACTTTAAAGCCTTCATAGTTCACGGTGTTGCCGCCGCTGCGCTGATCCCTGCTTGATATATCTTTAATACTACTCATCAGTAGCCAAGAAGATTAACTATTTATGCCGGCCTTCTCATAGGCAGACTCTCGCACTGTTTTCATGTCGTTTACTACCGGAATAACTCACCCTGATTGTCTGTGTAGGCTGGGTGCTACACCGGTGGCTCCCACCACGCTTGGAATACTCAGCTCTGATGTAGAAAGCAATCAAGGGAATATACAACGAACATGGCTGACGAAAGTACAAAGATGACACTGTATGTATTTAATGTGCAACTCTCTCAGAGGAATTACAGGACCATTGCATCCAAATATACAAAGCTAAGATGCAAGCAGTGTGACTCGACCCCACAAACTCGATCCAGAAAAGTCAAAGAATAACATAAAACGCAGATGACCGTGGGACTGGAGATATTCATGCACATCTGGAGCCGGTTCAGAATCTCCAATATCTCGGATATCAAATCAAAAATGCGAATCAACAGCAGGCAAGCGGCCAGAAGAGAGCCCAGAAGGACCCAGCGGTGTATAAAACTGAAAAAGAAAACAAGAGAAAAAGAGGGTGTCTTAGAAGCGCGAATACAGAATCTCATGAACATAAGCGAACTGTTGGAACAAAAGGTACATCGAGCGAAGGATTCATGGAAGAATCCTCAAAGGATGGGCTATGGAAATAATGAGAAGAGGAGAAGAGAAGTAAGTCCAAGGGACAGATTTTGAGTCGAAGAAAACAGGCACGGCGAATCGTGATCTAAGGAGACTAAATGCTGACGGGGCAAGACAATACCGAACCGACTGGTCGGTAAGGTGCAGGTGGGAGAGGCCGGCCCATATCAATTCGAGTCCTTCGTCAGTATCCTGCGGCCGCAAAAAGCACCGGACAGGACTCTACCATATTCGGCAGAGACACAGAGGCTTCATGACATCCTCTCAAAAGTTTTGGGCGATGCCGGCGTTTCCTTGTCGCGGGAAGACCGCCGGGTTCTCGATCCGCGTATTGCGCCGGGCCTGGACATCTCGAATCACAGGCTGATTCGGGACATATGGACCGTCTCCATAAGCCCCGTACTGCCCTTGCATATCACTATAGTACGGATTATCCTCGTAGAAGGCAGCAGCCGGATGGGTACCAGACATATGGCTTTCTTCCGAGGCGTCGGATCTATTGGCTGCGGAGTAAGCAGACGAAGCATTGGACGGACCACGGTGGATGTCAGTGGTGCGATTATTAGAAGCCGCAGGAGCAGCCCCCAAGACCCCGATCGGTTCAGTTTCTTGCATCTGTCCTTCGGAAAATTGGATGGTACCGTCGCTCGGAGTTGCAGCGTGATGATAGCCAGGTGCACTTCCAGCTTCCGACATAGCTAATCCCGGCCCGGCGCCGCTCGACAAATTCGTCGATGCTTTGCGGCCAGCGGAGGTCGTTCCCCAACCCCGATATCCAGATGTGTCCTCCTTGGGTTCGTATGCAGCGCCGCCACCCATGATGGGCGGTAGAGTGGGATCGTTATTTGGGTTGAATCCGTACTCCTCCACCTCTTTTCTTCGTTCTTCCTCCGCCGCTTTCTTTGCCTTCCATTTGCGCCAGAAGTACAAGGCAGCTAGGATGATCAAAGCAACGGAGACGACAGGTACGACTACCGCTACAGCGATTGTGCCACCAGCAGAAAGTCCAGAACCACCCGAGCTTCCTCCCGTAGACGATGCAGTCGCTGACGATCCAGATGATGTAGTTGTCACTCCATTGGCTGAATTTCCAGTCGGGAGAGTTCGAGACGTAGATTCCGTCGAAGTAACGTAAATGGTCGTCGGCCCAGTATTTGTATTGGTAGGTGATGCAGTAGCGATACTTGTGGTGACGCTGTCGGGACTCCGAGAGGTCTCGGAGCTGGTGGATTGTGTGGTCTGTGCAGTCGTGGTGGATGAAGTGCTTGTCGTGCTTGAAGTGCTTGTACTACTTGTAGTGCTAGTCGTTGGTGGTTCTGGTGGAGTGGACGTCGTTGAAGTTGTTGATGAGGTGGTCGAGGACGTTGAAGTTGGCTCGGACGCGGTGGATGGAATTGACGTCTGCTCAGCAGTTGTTTGGGCCGGCGTACCGGCATTGGCACTCGTCGGAGCTGCCTGTGCTGTTCCTATAAAATCGTTAATCGACCGTCTGATCGCGATTGGACGACAATTCTGATAGAGAGGGGACCATCGTGGGCAGGCTGGTTAATCCATACCAGTAGACATGATTCAGTGGCTCTCCTGAGATAGTATGACCAGAAAATTCTCTCCCCAAGAGAAATCTAATGGTACAATCGGCAGCGCAAAAATCCAGACGCGCAGATAACGTGGGTACAGTTGTCTTGTCTTTTGACGCGAACGGCGCTTCCAACTAAGATGCAGGGCCGAGCAATTCACTTTCTCGACGTTGTTGGGGATATCAGCGGACCGAAGGTTGACCGACCGGGATTTCGTGGAGGGCGAGCGTGAGCCCGAAGTCCCATCAACAATTGGGAAAAGAGACAAAAGTATGAGAAATGAAACAAAACAATAGTGAGTGAGAGAAGAACTGATAAAGAGTGGCTGTCAATTACGACACAGTAAACGATTGCGCGCGCAGCGATTATAGGAGTTGCAGTCAGATGTGGTCAGAATTGAGGCCGACGGAGGTACAGTCTGCGGGACGGTTGATGATGATCAGGGGCGAATCAAAATGGAAGCGTGAACCGGGAAGACGCAGGAAAGAAACCTGGGAGGTACCTACGCAGGCTCCATGAGATGACAGTGGAGGACAATAACTGGAGATAGATGATAATAGGTACAATATAATGGTAATGATAAGGTTAATTCCACCGTTTGAGAAAGGAAACGGTTCGAAGGACGAAGGAAAAGCGTTTTAAAAGAAAGGGAATGAATCGAAGTGAGAGTGGAGATGCAGAGAATATCTAGTAATAATACAGATGGATCATGGATCATGAATAATAGATTCCATTGCTAAAGCCGGCTTCTCTAGTGGTATTCATCCCTGGTGACTTTTAAGTGGGCTCAAATTCTTCTACTTCCTCTTAAAGAGGGGAACCATATTCGGTACATATCTACCCGTTGGCGGATGTGTATACTGAGTTCCCTGCTACAGTAGTATCTAGCTATTTAATGACATATTAAAGTCTTCTATTTTCAAGACTAGCACCTTGAAATTCTCGCGATTGCTCTGACTTCACTTAAGGCTGTAGCTAAATAAAAACATTGTGTACATTCTTTAAAGCGAATTGTGTCCAACAGTTAGGTACCACTAAGGTACTGAATTTGGTGTGCTTGCTGTAATTGATTACCATTCACCACAGGCCCATGGGACCCTCCGGTATTATTAGCAAAAGACAAATGCGGCCATGCGGCGAATTGATTACAGGATACTCCAAACATCCATGTACTTTAGGAATGGAAGTGCGGAGCTACTGCTGCAAGTCTTTCCCGCAACCAGCATGTATTTTTAATATAAAGGTTGTTTTCATATTTTACAATGGAGGTAAGTTAGTCCCTCATGCTCTCAGCAACGGCATCTTCTTTACTAAACAAACATCTGGGACCGGAGTGGCCTTTATTTAATGTTTGCGTCAACGGTTTCCACAGAGGAATTAGTTCGCTTGAGCTGTACATACACAGCAGTAGGTAGTCACTGCATTTTCTACCCCCGGTATTTACTCTGTAACTCAACGTCTAGATGAGTATCGATTAGACAGTCGTCTACCTTACAGATAAGTGCTTCATGGCCCAGAGCACTAGGTGGTAATTTAGTGGTCTTGAAGTAGAATATCATCATTGATTGGTGGGAAACCAAACGGATTCTTCTATTAGTTAGTACTGATATGGATACCCCGGTCATGTACGGAGCAGTGCATGACTGAATAACAGCATTGTGTCCTATTTTTGTTGTTATCTCACTGTCAGCATTAGGTCTACTTTCTCACCGGGTATGTTTCTCTCTCTTCCCCCGTCCTCCTCAAGCTTTTCTGCATATCTATAATCCTCCAAGGTTGCCCTCACATTGAAGTATTGGAAAACGAGGGCCGAATATTTTTACACACTTTTCCGCAGGTGGACTTTGGTTCAACTCAGACGACGATGAATTACTCCCGGGCCACAGCCCTAATCCGTTGTGCAGACCGGATCACCTCAACCCATATCCATGGATAGGATCAGGACTACAGTCAACAGTGCCGGGCATACCTACTTGCCCTACACCGGAGTTTAAATGACGATTTTGTACCATGGATGAAGGTTATCTCCTCTCGGAACCAAGGCTACCCTCGCACCAGTTCACTACAATAATAAATACGACTAACCAGCAGCTGTTCAGCTTGTGTTCAGACCTTAGTCAAGATTAGTCATCCACCCATGACCAGGTAAAAGATTTGTACGCATCGATATACGGAGTAGTCCGCACTTATCGTCAGGAGACTAATAGACTTGTTAAGCCCATTCCCACCATGGATTATCTTGATAGATCTATTACTCGTGGTCTTGAATTGACATACTATTTGTTTACAACTACTCTTTCCAAGTCCGTCACTTGCATGTTCTACGTAAGAGTTGCTGCTTGGGAGAGGAGGTGTAATTTCCGATATATCTCGAGACTGGGAATGGGCTGAGTGTCAGAACACATGGTTATATTCAGGCGAACACAGCATATGGAGCAGCGTGACGATTTCACTATGTAAATCCACTGTCGCTCTGAATCTAGATATTCAAAATAGAAAATTGATATACTAGCTGGGGCCAGAGTCCACGCCCAGGACCCATCATCTCGCTTCTGAATACTGGAAAGATGAATTCGGGTGGAAAGACAGCACCAAGTGAAAGAATTTTTAGTATAGTCTATTTCTCAACAAGCCAGGCTCGCGCCGCTCAAAAAGAACTCAAAAATAGAGCCTGAAGACGCCTGACGGCACAAAGCCCTGCTCGACTTACTGTTCTTTTGAACAGTATGCGGAAAGCAGGAAATGATCACAATCACACTAACAGAACAAAGCCCCATTCACAGACAGCATCTCATATTTCACTGCCTCCAGAGCCTTGAAATCAAGTAGATAGGAAGATCAGAGAATAGGAAAAAAAAAAAAAAAGATCCAGCTTCATATATCTTATATACGCCATGGACGTAGAATTGCCAGTGACATTGATCCCAGTCTCTGGGGAGACAGCGCCCATTTCGGAACAAATAACAAGACAAAGGTCGTGAAGTACCCTAGCGCGACATTGTGGAAAGATATTCATCACCTGGAGGAGCAGAAGATCACATCTTGACGAGGCTTTCTATGTTTGCCGCATATCCCACGATGGACGAAGATTGGACATCAAGTCATCTTTCGTGCCTACAGTCTCTGGGGGAAGCCGGCTGACCCGATACGCACCCGTGCGAATGTTATGCAGATGAGCGGCAGAGATCCCTGTGCGGTTACTATGAATGCTGCCAGCGTCGCTTGCGGTCTCTGCGTTCTTGAAGCGAGGCGGAGGCGCGAAATCAAGGTTATCGAAGGTCCCTGATTTACGCAATGCATGCCTGAGGAGATTGTTAGTTTTGTGGTCTAGATCTTACTGGAATACACAGACTTACGGGCTTGGTATCGGCGCGAGCTCATCGAAAGCGGAGGCAAGAGGTGTACGAGCAGGTGCTACTGGAGTGTAAGGGCGCAGTCCACCAAGAGGGGTCTCTGCTCGTCCTTCTTTTTTGTCTTTGAAGTTCATGCCTGGGGCATACTCGGCAGCGATCATAAGGGAATCCTCTTTCAGCAAGTGAGGGGAAGGTAGAACTTGAAGTGGTGACGGGGGCGGCATTGGCTTGCGAGGAGCTCGAGGCCCGGGCAACCGATGAGAAGCCGAAGAGAAAGCACGAGGTCCCGGATAGTGGGACCGATCGCTGGCACCACCCACAGAGCCTGTAGCCATATGCCTGGCAGCTCCTTGGAAGCGGGGTGGTGCGCGGGGGGGCGGCGTCATGGCACGACGATTGACGGGCTCAGCGAACGGTGCTGGAACTGCATCGTAGTATTCACCAGTGGTAGGATCGTAGACGTAACCATCATCCTGAAAGTATTCTGGACCGTAGTCCTCGTAGATAGTTTCCCTGCCGGTCTTAGACTCGTCGAAGTACTCCTTGTAAAACGACCGAATACGGTTGGCACGCTGCTCAGGATTATCTGATGGATCCTCCGGAGGCAGAGGGCGAAGTCCCAGGGTGAATCTACGTGTGTCACGACGAACATCAAGGCTTTGATTCTGAGACTGGAGCGGCTCCTGGGGGATAGCATGAGCTGCTGCATAATGTGGGGCCGCATCACGCTTCTGGGCATCTTCAGCCCCGTCGACATTCACTGCCGGGATCTCAGGATGAGACTTTCTATTATCACCATAGTCGCTCGCTGCATCACTCACAGGAAGTGAAATGCGAGGTGTTGGCACGGACGGTGACTGCTTTGAAGGCGAAGTCGAGTCAAAATTGGTCGACATATCTTCATGAATGGGACGACTCTGCTGTTCACGGGTGTCGAGATGCAGCTCCAATGAAGGGTCTATGGCGTTCTTGGGAGGTTGTTGAGGCAAATTGTCATGGCGGGCCTCCGAAGATGATATGTTCTCGCCGCTGTCGGCATGGCCACCTGGCGCTGGACTTGTTCCACGGCTACCGCTGACTCCCGGTATATGAACAGGGCTCAAACTGCGTGGCAGATTCAGCTGCAACCCCACATCCTGACCATTTCCTTGGCCCAGCGGACTGTGCAAGCTACCACCGTCCGAAGGAGCATTATACAGTGGCGGTGACGAACGCGAAATTCTCTGGGCGTTCTGCAGTAAACCTTGGTTCATGTCATCTCCTCGCAGACTGGCTTTACTCTGTGATCTGGAGAATGCCGACGTGTCATCGTGGAATCCCCTCGGTTGCGATCTGACAGATGCATTATCACCAAGGAATGAACTTGCGTGGCGGTATTTATCGTCATCGCCAATCATAGACCTTGAAAGGGAGTGTAACGACTCCCGGGAACCATGCAGACCAGGAGGAAGGAGATAGGGGCTTGGGCCTATGTCGAGGGACATTCCCTTGGAATGCATGTTGCTCCCTTTCTCTGCCTGCGTCATTGGTTTAGACCCAGCTCTAGGTTCCAAATCTAAGCCAAAATCGAGAGATTTATGCTTGTCATTGGCATCTTCCTGGCGGAGCTTCTTCACATTCCGCCGATGCAGATAGAATAGGACGATAATGGCGCATACAATTGGGATTCTGGTCGCTCATCAGCTCATGCACAAGAAACAGACCAAGAATGAGAACTCCACGTACACCGCGCCTAGTACAATCGGCAAAGTCGTTGTACTGGACGAATTTGTATATTTCTCGCATGCACTGGAGGTGTCACCCTCAGGACAACGGGTGCTTGCGGACGTCGTAGATGTCGATGGCACCCTTTTCACAAGGGTTGGATCTTCGGTGCCAACCAAGAGAGGCAGACGGTCTCGAGGCACAATATCTGGTCGACGCGGCGGGGAACGCACGGACATGTGGATTCCATGACGAGGGAAATGTTGATGTTGGTGATGATGATGCATGGTCGTCCTAACTCGTCTGGTCTCAATGACTTTTTGAGTCGGACGCCCGATACAAAGATCTCCAAGGTCAGTGGACTCCTATAGTCGTCGGGTCGATTCGAAGGGGCGAGGATTGCAATGAATTGCGAGGACCGGCGATCAAATCCAGCAACCGACGATCTCTAATCATGAATGCAAGAGTACGGGTGGCATTAACTGAGCAAAAAAAGGCTTATAGGCAGGCCAGAGATGGGAGAATATCGCTAAACAGATGGGATTAGCAGGCTAAGGAAGGCAGATGCGCTGCCGAAATTGACGCTGTTCGACCAAGGAGCGAACGGGAACGGTTTTTTCCCCTAAAGGAGTGGAAGCTGAAGGCCAGCAGACTTAAATAAATGAGTGTCAGTGATCTCCGCGAGGAGACCAAGTTAGAGAAACTGGATCAACAAGCAAGCAAAAAGGAATGGATAGGATGATAACAATAATGGAAGAAAAGGAACAAGAAAAGAGACAACGACCAAGGGGACAACGACTAAGGAGAGATAGCGGATATTAGACTAGCAAGTGAGGTTAGTGCAAAGATGAGGAGACAGTACGGAGTAATAATAACAATACTTGTACTAGTCACACTTGTGTGCTAAGCTTGTCCATACCTCTCCGGCTCTCCCTACCTAGCCTCGCCTAGAGGTAATATTCAGGATCCATAACAATAATACCTTAATAACTAACATGTAAATCCTTCTGGCAAGGTGAAATTCAGCTATTAGCCCTGATTGTTTTATGATAATGAGGTTCTAAAAACTTTCTAGGTTCATTAACTAGGTAGGTACTCCGTAGGTACCTTGCTGTACGGAGTACACAGACAGCCATAGATACCTAGCTTAACACATACGGTCGTGGGGAGTAGTACAAGCAATTTCAGGCACGACTGTGTGTGAACCAGGTGCCTCGGTACCTAGAATACCTATAGGTAAGGTAAGGAGCCTGAGATCCTTCACCTCTCCAGGTAGCTCACTTTGCAGGTAGTCCATGCCAGGTACTGCTGTACTTTATACTTGATAATCTGCACCTACTCCATATATGATACTACCTCTGCACTCTATGAGGTAACAATCGGTCTACTCTCGGTTGCTTGGGTTGAGAGACAGAACCACAAGAGGTAAAGTACACACTCTTGGTACCACTAGTCAGGTACGGATACCAATCATACAGGTTTGGTACCTGAGAAGTGGCGACGGGATGAACAGCCAATGGTTTCATTAACCCCACTTGAACCCCCTTAATTGAAAATTATTGGTGGCTTTGTGCAAAAACTATATTATTAGCAGGTCGGTTCAGGGGTAAGACTTTCTGTGTTGGCGATGGACAGAGTCTAGACTATCTGTAAGATTTCTGCAACTGTTATGAGAGGTACTCTGTACTCTGTGCGGAGGACGGAGTACAGAGTAAAATGGTCAGCAAACCATGCTTAATTGCTTATACTGATCATTACAAACCCCATCCCTACTGCTTAGTTTGCTTGGAACAAACTATGGAATAATTGCTAATGGGCTAGATAACCTGAGAAAATTACACAGCAATGATATTCCTTGACCCTGCTCAGCACTTTTTTAAATGACTATCAGTTATCCTGCAGTATATGAGTCTTGATCTCTGAAGTACCTAGTTATGTGAGGGCATCAACGGCCGCACTTATTGCCTGAATGATAGGTACCAGGCCGCCTGTACATTGTTAAGTTAATTATCTGCCCTTGGAGCCATGGAAGCTATCCTCCCTGAATAGTGGTATGGAGACGGACTTTGAGGAAACCGATAGGCGCGGGGAGTACTAAGATATTGAATCAAAGCTTCAACTCACGCATGTGCGTTGAGTTCATTGGATTCCTCTCCATATTATTCGTTGACCACTGACCACTTACAATCGATTGTCCTGCGAACTATCTGGTGGAGTTCACTTTGAGACTGACTTTGAGAAGAAGTGGACTGATCAAAGTTAGTAGAATTGCCATGATAATATGTTCATAACTTATTGGTTTGAGGATTTATATATGTAGTGTATTGAACATGCGTCAACCATGATCCTTGTCTATCAAGCGTGATTTCTTCCCTTGCAAGGGAGGGAGCAGCATACATGATCATATAAAAACATCTTTCACTACCATATCTCTGAGAAAGACTGTAGTGAGTCTCATGTCCGTAATTTAATTTCATGCATTATAAGTCCTGAAAATCTAGAGTCTACTACGATTTCTATTATTATCATCAATGTAGCATGGGCACGAGGAGGAAATAAGGTTATTTTTGCTCCCCTTTTGTTCGTGCAGCATTATGACGTCAAAAGCAGAGCCCTACTGTAGCCGACACCATCAGATCGTTGTCCGGCCTGCCATACAAAATCTTTTTATGTTATTGTAGCATCAAACTCATAGTCCAGAATATTGGCCATGCCTATCTACTGTTATCTTCGTTGCTTTAAATGCTTCCTGTATTGCTCAACAATATCATGGAGGAGACAGGGTGAGATGCCCCCGTCGCTTCCTTGAAGATCATGCAGTGATTTCAGACATCAACCTGGCCACAAAAAGGTATGTCTTTTTGTTTAGGAGGCCAGACTTCAATATTGCCTTCTATCACCGGTGACAGCAACTAGGTAATGGTTCTACTACTGTTACATAGTACTTACCTACCTAAGTACATGACCGATTGCTTACCTGATGATGATGGTGACGATGAAACCAACCTTGGCCACTTCTTTTCATGTGTGCCTCTTGCAGTCAGATCAAAAAAGCCCAAATAAAAGTTGACATTTTCTGAGAATAATATCCCTACCCATGTACTGATTATCAGTATGTCTTGCATTAACGAACAATAGAGCCTTAACTGTGGCCGCATGGAGCAGGGCGAAGCACAAAGAGACATGGACACCGAGGAAGATTCTCGCGTCGGGATTATCTCCGAAGAGGTGGCTTGAGATCATCTTCAAATAAGTCCAATTTGCCGCTATGGTTGGGTTACAAGCCCACTCGAATCGCGTAGCTTCGCACAGTCTACTTCATTCGCCTCTTCAAGTGGACGCTCATACGATACTGCTTTGAAAACCTTGTCTCAAACCAAATTCACCCTATCTATATCTTATAAACTCTCCGTCGTTCCTGCCTCGCCGAAGAGAATTCTCCTAATTTCTGCTATGGTCTCCAGCACTTGTCTTCTAGGCTGCGTGCGTCATTGTCCGCATGGATTCATTGTCGCGGGATCTCGAAAAGGCTGAATTGGAGGCATACCGTGCACCAAGCCGCAGTCAGAGTCTCAATCATGGCGGCCGTGCCTCTCGGTCTGACTCCCTCTCATCCTCAGTCACGTCTTCCAGCTCGTCAACACAAGCGCAAGAGGGCGACTACTACTTGTCGCAGATTCAGACTGCCCAGACGCTACGAGGTGCTGGTCTAGAACGACATCCAACAGCACTCAGTCGCATTGCGACTCAGAGAAGCCAGCATAGCGCCACTGTGGGTGCTCTTAAGCCACTCGTGTCAAAGAAGCCTCTGGCAGAATTTGGCGCAGGAAAGCCCTATCCGCCGCCGCTTCCAGAGAGAGAGGAATATGTCGTGGAGTTTGCTGGTCCGGATGATCCTCTGCATCCTCAGAACTGGTCTATCAAGAAGAAGTAAGTCACTCCGAGTTTGCGTCGCTCACCTCAAAAAGACTAATGGCCACTCACCTCTGCGTATAGGATTGCGGTTTCCGCCATGCTGGCATACACGACTTTCAACGCCACTTTCACAAGCAGCATCTACTCTACCGCCAATTCGGTTGTGTCATCGAAGTTTCATGTCTCGACCGAAGTGGGTACCCTGGGCCTCTCGCTGTATGTCTTGGGGTTTGCGTGTGGTCCAACGTTTTTCTCGCCGCTGTCTGAGCTACAAGGCCGGCGCCTACCCATCCTGATCGGCATGTTCGGCTTTACCGTCTTTCAGTTTGCAGTGGCTACCGCGGAAAACCTTCAAACGGTAATAATATGTCGCTTTTTCGGTGGCTTCTTCGGATCATGTCCCATCGCTGTTGTTGCAGCGGTGTTCTCTGACATCTATGACAACCGCCATCGAGGCCTGGCCATCACAGTTTTTACCATGGCAGTCTTTACTGGCCCGCTCTTTGCTCCTTTCATCGGTGGCTTCATCGTTGAGAGTTACCTAGGCTGGCGTTGGACGGAATACCTCACTGGAATCATGGGCGCCTCGGCTTTTGTTCTAGATTTGTTCTTTCTGGAGGAGACATATCCTCCAGTTGTGCTAATTGGGAAAGCTGCTGAGCTACGTCGGCGAACGAGAAATTGGGGCATTCACGCGAAGCAAGAGGAGATCGAGGTTGAATTTGGAGAGCTGATCCGCAAGAATTTCAGTCGTCCACTACGGATCTTGTTCACTGAACCGATCGTGCTCCTGCTAAGCATCTACATGGCATTCCTTTATGGCTTGCTATATCTATTCTTGACCGCATATCCAATTGTCTTTCAGCGCATCCACGGTTTCAACAAAGGCGTTGGGGGCTTCCTTATTTTGGGATAATCATCGGCGAATTTATGGGCGGGATGTTTATTATTATGCTCCAGCCATGGTATAACAGACGACTGAGTGCGAATAAGGACATACCAATCCCTGAGTGGCGTCTACCACCGGCCATTATAGGTGGAGTAGCCTTTTCCGGCGGTCTTTTCTGGTTCGGTTGGTCAGGATACAGATCTGATATACATTGGATCGTGCCAACTCTGTCAGGTCTCCTCACCGGATTCGGACTTTTCTGCATTTTTCTGCAATGTCTCAACTATATTGTCGATGCCTATCTCGTCTTGTACGTCGCTCCCTCCAATATCTCTACCTTAGAAGCTATGCTGATGTCTTGTCACGTAGTGCTGCTTCGGCCCTGGCTGCAAATAGTGTTTTGCGTTCTATAGCTGGTGCAGGATTCCCACTTTTTTCAACCTATATGGTACGTTCGACCTTCCTTGCTACTTCCGCTTTCTGGCGCCTCGTTTCGTTCCCTGACATGCGCACAGTTTAATGCTCTAGGCGTCAACTGGACTGGGACTCTTCTTGGATGCGTCGCTGCCATCCTGATGCCCATTCCGCTCCTCTTCTACTTGTACGGACCCAAGATCCGTGAGGAGAGCAAGTTCGCAATGGAATATATTGTAGCCGCTCAGGCCCACAACGATGAGCATGCAGAATGACACCTTTTATCTACCTCAGTACGGACACAGTGGACAGCTCACTCAGGAGATGAGAAGAATCACGGATGGTCTAGGCGAGCCAGATGAACTTGGAACCTCCGTGATGGACAATCTTGAACAATTTGCACATAGCTCATTGCTTGTTGAGTGTCTCGATTCCTATCGTATCACTGAGCAGGACCGCGTTCAAAAAGTTTCGTTATTTGACTTGCGATACCCCTGTGGCTTGGATTTACGTTGGCCTTTGGCGTGACAGCAGCTGGTTGTACAAGGTCATTAATTTCAATGACAATAAGACGTGTGTACATGTTCGAATTTAGAAGGAAGCTTCCAGCGCCCGAATCTCGTATGAGATTGCTCTTCAAAGAGATATCGACGTTTACTTCATATGGAGACATTGAACATGCAGATACTATGGGAATACTGTCGCGTTATTCCATGGTCTTTTATTACATTATGTACCTTTTTTCCCTTCTCTAGTAAGATAACGTCAACCCAGCTTTAACCAGAATGACATGTGGTCGTATCCTTGATTTTGACGCCAATGTCGATACTGCCTCGCCTGCCTGGTGCGTGTTGTGCTTTTTCAAGGCAAATACCAGTAGTGGGAGGTGTAAAAGACGCAAACCCCGGGATAGACCCAGGCAACCGTCAGACAGGACCGCTATTTTGTGACACAGAATGAAGGTCGGCGTAAAACAGAAAAAGGAAAATCATGACAAAGACGAGGAAGAAAAATTAACACATTGATGGTGCCCATACAAGAATAGACGAGGAAAATGACATCGGGCGGAAAATGTACACCAAACCCACTAATACAAGATGAAGCCCTGTTCAGAAAGAAACATTTTTTCCGTAGACAAAAACGGCCTGACATTCCGGAAAGCAGAAGGTTAGTGACGGATGGAGATCTCGGGTCCGAAAAGATAAAGAAGGAAAACTATGTCAGGGTTCTATTCACGTCGTTTCGTAATGCTCGAGTCAGTCGTCAAAGATCAAGTAATAAGGAAGTAGTACATGAGGCAGAGACAGGGAGAGCGAGGAAAAGGTGTACGGAGTGACGTCATGTCGACCCTAGGAATTGATGCATCTCTAATTGACACAATGAGATTCGTAAATCAGGTGATTATCGTCGGTAGGCTGATCAAAGATCCGGCTGAATGGCGGATCAGAAGACTGCGTTTTGTCGTCGGGGGTCGTTATCACGCCCTCCTCCTTGCGAATAACTTCTTTCAGGGCTCGGGTTACCACACCGGCTCGTATGACGAGATCACGAAGAGACTGCGTATCAAACGGGAGTTTTTTAGAGCGCGAACACTGAGGACCGCGGAGAGCGGGGTCATGTGAAACGCGTTGCTGATAGATCAGATCCAGAACCGACTTCGCTTTGGCAGACGTGTCACAGGAGACGCTGAGATGTGGAGGTAACTTCTCGGAAAGCGAAGCTCGCCAGGAATCCCCGCTTGTCCGCTTCGACGGATCTGCTAGGTTGGACGACTCGCCTTCAGAGTCATCAAAACTGAAAGTAAGGGACGTCGGTGACCTCGGAGGGGAATCATTGTTTTCCTCATCGTCAAGCGTGGCTAAATTGACGATACCCTCAGCCTCCTGCCAGAGTTCACTCGACGGACCTTGAACTATATTCAGAAAGCTGGCCCGGTGACGAAGACGTTTAAGCTCCTCGACCAGTAGGGTCAATTCCTGGACCTGCCCGAATTGCCCGTGAAGGCTCGCTTGACGTTCCAGGATGGCTGCAGGGACTATCATGCCCCGTCGAGAACTCGTTCTACTAGGCCGCATGTTCTCGTTGTCCACTTCTGCATCGTCGAACTCGAAGTCGCTGTCCCAATCCTCGCTAACGCCTTTACTACCCAAGCCCCAAGTTCCAAATTTTCCAGATGTCTGACGAGATTCGCTAGCGATTGTAGGTTCTCTCGCCACAGGAACACTTTGGCTGCGAAGATGCAATGAGTTCGGAGCCCTCCGCCCTGGAGCACGACTGCCACGGAACTCAGGGCCATTTTTCCCGTGGACAGTTCGGGGTCTTTCGTCCATTCCCGAGACGTCGCGGTCGTTTCGAGACTGTTCCGACCAGTCAAATATGTTCATTTTCCGGCATGACCCAAGCGACTCTTGAGAAACGCTGCGCAATTTGTGCAGTGCAAACGCCTCGTCTGGAGCATGGGATGAATTTGAGTGGACGAGAGCACGGATATCATTGCCTTCGGCGTAGAAATTGGAAGTTACCAGAGGACGACGGGGGAAGATTAACGGCGAATTCGTCTCACCAGGCAAGGCGGCAACCGTGCTGCGAGCATCTTCATCCTCGGATAGATCCGAAGGAAAGGATACCCTGCTGTCTTCCCTGTCGTCTAGCTCTGCTACCTCACGGGCTCTAGGCGTTGCACCAGAAACTGCATCGCTGTCGATTCCCAAGTCGCATATAGCCGGAGCCAGTCCATGCAGCATTCTTGGACCGCGAGGCTCGAGCGCTTCGATTCTAATCTCGTGGTCCGCAAGACTCTCTACTGGATCCTTGTCAAACATGGTTTCAATCCGCGAGCCCCGGGAACCGGAGTTGCTACCAATTGTGAAGTGAGTGCGGATTGAGTCAAATGCTGTATCAGTCAAGAAATCTGATTCGTCTTCATCGCCAGACGTAAAAATACGGGTATCATCGGACCCAATCGCGGATGAAGCTGGATCTGAGGCCGCGATTGAATGGCGCTTGGGACGCTGGCGGACGGACCACAGGAAAGTCAAGTCAGAGGTGCGAAAGAATGCATTCTGGTACGCTGATGGTGCTACCGCGTCCGATGTCACGGGGCGGTTCCCGTAATCCCGACAGAGACCCAGCTCCGCTCTGTACTCTCGAAGATATGAAGGGGTAATAGAACGCCGCGATCTCATGATCTTTGCTGTCAGGAAGTTAGGATATCCTGCCTGGGATGCGTCGGGAGGCCGACGGAAGATGTTTGGGTCGGTGATGTTACGCTTCCCATTTAATTGTCTCGACTCCGAGGTGGCCGCTTTCGAATTCGGTAACTCTGGGAAGGGTGTCGATACTGCTCTCCTTTTTGGCCAGACCGGAGGTCCACTACTGGGCTGCTTGGAAGCTGCTGTGCTTGAGCCTTTTTCAGGTGACTTCGGGTCCGCTTCGTCGAGTACAATAGAAGAAGGCCCGCTGTTGCTTTTCACTAGGGAAGGTGCGTCTCGGGCACGCGGTGGATCATCAAGTTTGAAGGGGTCTCGAAACTGGACTGGAGAGGCAGGAGCAAACTCATTCGAAGTGATGTTTATTGCAGGTTCTTTCATTGTGATGGAGGTCGCCAGAAGAAGCGCTGGGAGGGCATCCGGGCTCGGTAGGATCCGCCGTAGTGCTTGTTCCTTCGGTCTTGTCGCAGTGGACAGTCTTCGGGCGAGTCTCTCGGTCAGCCCCTCCAAACTGGCTCTTAGATATGGTTGCCATGCACCCCCCTCAATGTCAATGGAGGAGCCTGCCTCGACAGAATGCGACGCGGGATCTATGATAGAACCAGGTTCAAAGTTTAAGCTGTGAGTTGCTCTATGCCGTAATACTTCGGACCGTTGATAGCTCGTCGCAGGTCTCCGCAATTGCGAAGGTGCCCAGGGCGATGATGGCGCACGCGCAGATGAAGGTAGACCATTGGAATGCTGCGAGGGGGTTCGCTTCACAAGCTTGTTTGGTACTCTGCGCTGACTGGACAGCCGTGATAAGCCTGGGCTTGTGGGGTCGTTGGACGATGGAGACAATGGACCGTTATTTGAGAGGCGGCTCTCCTGCGGCTGGATCGACAGACGTCGCAACCAAGAAGAGGACGGTCGTCGGGAATGCGAGGGCGTGTCGCTGTCCTCTTTTAGATGCGAAGGTGGACTGGTCATTGTATGACCTCGGCGCCGACGTATTACACCGGCAAATGAAGACTTTCTCCGAGACTGTGAGTCCCCGGAATTAACCTCGGGTGAAGCGACATCGCTGTGAGGCTGGGAAGGGTCTGCGATATGATGTGCTTTTACATCGCAGACTGTGGAGGGAAAAGAAGGAGAATCTGGAGACTTGGTACCGAAAGCCGGCGATACAGTATTGTTTGCTGTAGGCGCACGGTAGTCACGCAGGAGGGTCTTTCTTCGAAATCTCCCTTGTTTGGAGGAAGGTCGATCTATGCGACCGAGAGCGAAACCGGTCGCTGCAATACCAACAGTGCTGACCGCACAGAGCTGACAGAAAGCAAGACGAGTTAGTGTCAGGCCCGTCAAGCAGTGGTCGATCGCAATCACCAGTGGAGACAAAATAAGAAACTTCGCTGCTCGGAGATCACGCGCAGAGCTTCCTACTGGCGCTCAAGGGTGGTTTGATTCCTTCTCTTTGTAGAGAGAATGGAATTCATGGCAGGAAAATGGCGATATCGCAGAGGATGAGGGAAGCGGCGGACTTACAGTAGAAACATGCTCCATCCTCAGAGGGTGCTGAGAACAGTGTCAGACACCACAGAACTCAGTCCAGCCACATGGGACATTCCTGTCTGCATAATCATGCACAAGGAGGAATTATTTGTAGAGAGATAGAGCTCAATAGGAGCATGTAGAGAAGAATGCGACAGTTGAATGAAGCAAACCAGTGGCAGTTGTGAAAGAGGGAAATGAGAGGTGGAAAGCTGTATGAAGATACACCCGCCGTCGAGCGCAATAACAACAATAATAATAAGAAGCGGAGATTGTCTGGGGGGTAGGGAGGGGCCGCTGCAGCTGAGGCGAAATGTCAATGTAGGTACGGGAGTACACTGCAAGGAAGTGAAAGAATGGGGAGGGGGTGGTTTGTAAAGAATGCAAGAATAAGACTATTGTAGTAGTAACTAAAGATAATAAGAAGAGAGAGATGATCATGAAAGAATCAGATTCTGGCTTTGCTCTTTTTGTTGCAGAAAATCGTCGTGGAGAGGATAACAATTCTAATAATTATTGGAGAGGAGCTCAGCTCC